ATATATCCTATATATATGCTAAGGTCCCGCTGCTGACACGATAGCAGTCATTTCGTGCGCATATGTGTAATTAAACCCATGATATCAAAATCTCACTCCAGCCAGGTACCTACCCAAAGTTGGCAACCCTGCCTTAGCATGTGTTCTTTGCAGGTGCTTGTTGAGGTTTGACGTGGTGTTTCCAGCAGTGGATAACAGCTTCTGGCCTGGACACAGTTTGCACCTCACCGTCACATTCCTGTCTATTCTTCGGACGAACTCAAAATAATGGGCATACCTCCACCCCTCGAAAGTTATCGCTGACTCAGCCATGTTTATGCAGCACTGCACGTGGAGATGTGGACGCACAAGTCGCGCAGATTACGTACATATAAACCTACAAAGTACTGATATTATAGTAAATAAAAAAAGTATTATTTTTGTGTAGTTGTATATTGCAATAATAACGTATGGTTGTCACAAAATCCGGCGGCACAACCGGACTTGCCTCACGGCACACCAGTGTGCCGCGGCACACCGTTTGGGAACCACTGCTCTAATCTAATGCTCATTCACACACACTCACACAATGAGGATTGAATATCTGGCCCAAGGACACGAGACAAATAAAGACCTTTTTGAACATTAAAGCATATACACATGTCATAGAGACGCAAAATACTAATATGAACCTGAAAATGAGCACAGAGGTGACCTGTTAAGGTGTATTCTAACTTGTTTCTTTACATTCTGTATTCTATAGGTAGGTATTAATATATACTTTCTAGTGTTGATATGTATACATTTACTATGTTTTGTCACTAATTTGCAATGCCTGATAGCTTCTGGTATTATAACTTAAGTATGATGCATATAGTAGGCCTATAATATCCTATGTTTGTATATATTTGTGTATATATTCTGTATGTATTACTCTACGGATACATACCTTTCTGGTGTTGATATGCATACATACACACACACATACATACATACATACATACATACATACATACATACATACATACATACATACACACATACATACATACACACACACATACATACACACACACATACATACATACATACATACATACATACATACATACATACATACATACATACATACATACATACATACATACATACATACATACATACATACATACATACATACATACATACATACATACACACATACATACATACATACATGGCCATTGGTACCTGCTTCAGGCTCTCTACACTTCTTCCTATTTATAACGGATCGCATGAACATAGGCTCTGGACCCATCCATCCATCCACCCATCCATCCATCCACCCATCCATCCACCCATCCATCCACCCATCCATCCGTCCGTCCATCCGTCCGTCCGTCCATCCATCCATCCATCCATCCGTCCATCCATATTTTCAGATCAGACAATTAATGGCTTGTAATTTATTTAACGACGTCTTAAGCAACAGCTGCCCTTTCAAGCTATGGAGTACTTTCACGGTATCTTCTGGTATTTTTATAAAAGATCTGAATACCTCCCCCACCACCGTGAACAAGACTATATAAGACAATAAATTGGCTCCTACTTATCTGAAGGTGGCCTTATCATGCCCCATGCTGAAAAGCTATACATAATTAGTTCTGCCTATAGGACAAGGCCCTTATAAAAACCCATTCACCGTGTCGCTTTGATATAATGGACCAAATGTTTTCAGATCCTGCCTTCGTATCATGCGACTGCAGAGCCCATGCTATATCTGTAGGAGGACAGATGGCCATCCCTGTTGGTGCAATTCTCCACAGCTTCTCCGAGCTAATACACCCGGCATATGGACATGCATCACAGGGTGGGGACTGGCACCGGGCCCTCAGGGCGGCAGGGGATACGATGTGTGGTGCACATTTCCTAAAGAAGGCTGGTCCCGAGCCACCAAGCAAAACTCAAAACTCAACGTCCTTATCAGAATCAAAAGCGGAAATGTATCGTGACAGCAAAAGTAAAGGTAGAGACAAAATATAAAGAACTATTTGATAAAGGGCATGCACATAATATTTACAATAAGAATAAAAACACACACATTCGGGTAGAAAAGTAGCAGCAACAGCAGTATTTATGAGATACATTGAGTGTAACATGTAGAATACAGTGTGGTTGAAGCTGGATAACAGAGGTACAATTATATATTGCACTGAGTTACTTAAAGCTTAGAGTATTGCAATTGTCAAACTGGCAGCATAGTAATAATATTAATGTTAACTAGGCTACATATCACAGAACAGTGGTGTCGCAGTCTCTCTTTTTTTGTGGCACATTTAACTTGTTCCTTTGCTCAGGAAAGTGAATCTGCAGGTGCTTCCCCAGCAGGGTGCCACCAACGCCAGAGATCAGGTCACGCCTTCTCATAAAAGGGGGGCCGAGGGACGGTGAGTCTGCCACGGGCCGTTAGGACGAGGGCAGAGAGGCAATTTATCCTCATTTAGGACAACCTTGGTTGAAAGGTACCTGGATATCTCCTTGTGTTTTGTCTCCATTCCCCTCTCAGAGCATACTTGAGCTCTCCTTCTGCTCTGCATTCCCCCCTTCAACCCACCCCCACATTTCTGGACCCATCCCAGCTGAAGGGATTATTGGCCTTCAGAAGGAATATATCACAGGCAGGGCCGCCTTAATGCACGGGCTGACCTGGGCTGAAGCCCAGGGGCTTACAGAGATTGGGGGCCTATCATGAGCCAATAAAAAAAAATATTTTCAATTTTTATTTATTTTTTTTCGGATGTTTTAATTAATTTTTTTAAATAAACAAAGTCTTGGCTTTCAGAATATGAAATTTGTATTTCCAAAATCCGCCGATAAATACATTTTTGAAGCTAGTAAAGGGAAGAAGACAGCTCTCCCTCTCCACTCTGCTGTTCTGCTGTTCCCCTCCCTCCGCTGACATTATGAATGTAAGGCGTATAGTAATCATAGATAACACGGCAGGGTCCGTTACAGTTTGTTTTCATCTGGTTTAAAATAAACAAAGCCTTGGCTTTCAGAATATTAAACTTGTTTCGGCAAATTCAGATGATAAATACAGCTTTGTAGCTTCGGCATAATTACAAGCGGAGAACGGAGTGACTTGACGTCACAGCAGGCAAAACAACAGCCGGTATTTATTGTGAGTGTTTTCCCCGAGAAACAAACACAATACACACAAACGCAAAAATACACAAACACACACATGTATAGGCTATACACACACACACACACACACACACACACACACACACACACACACACACACACACACACACACACACACACACACACACACACACACACACACACACACACACACACACACGAGCTTCCCCCAGACCAGTAATCCAAATGAAAATATCTTCCCTCCATACTATTTTGATCATTTGCTCCGCTAATCAATCAGATCGATGGATTCCAGAGATTTTTCTCAAAAATGTTGACTCCGAAACAGTCAGTGGGCACCACTAAACAGCCAATCAGAATGAGAATATGCTTCACATGTGATTTATTCACATTGCGAGTGATTGAGTGACAGATGAAGGTTGTTTAGGAGAAAATGTCGGAGAAGAAAAAGTTTGAGAGTGGCGCTCGGAAAAGGAAATTTTTGAGGGAAAAGGAGTTTCGAGACAAGCAGCTATTACAAAACATGCCGAAGCTTACAGGTTATTTTAAACCTGTAGGCCAGGATGAGGAGGAAGGACAGATTAGTTCTGTACCGAGCGGTAGCGCTGCCGGCCGCGGGGCCTCGGAGCCAAGTAGGCCGTCTGGTTCTGATAGCGATGGAGTAGCGGGAGAGGAAAAACAGAGAGGAGGGATGTTGGAGGAGAGGACGACAATGACTTGCTACGTGGAGGGGAGCCAACGGCAACCGGACAAATACATGAGGGAGGCCCGATACGTCACTCATCTGGAGGAGAGGACCAGGCGCGCGTGGAGCAGAGTGGAGAAGTGCGATCACAGAGCCTGCGAGGCTATAAATGACTTTGATTTGTTGTTTAAATAGGGGGCCTACAAAACCTATCAGCCCCAGGGCCTGGTGGCAGGTTAAGGCGGGCTTGATCACAGGGACTCAAAAAACTACAGCTTGAGTAAATACATTGTGCTGCCACGTTGATGCTATCCACCTTCAGCTCGGATGCAATCAATCTGTGCGGTTCTGTAATAATCAGCGGAGAAAGAGCCCACTGTGTCTGGATTCTCTGCCTGTCTGGAGGTATTTACCGTGTCAGAGCAGCCCCGAACAGGAAGAGGCGGGCAGAGACTCTGTGCTGCCACCGTGTGGTCAGACCTTTGGTATCATCACACCCAAACTGACAAAAATAACCTCACAGAAGAAGTGCTGAGGTTGAGGTTTCCTCTTAGTTATTTTACTGGAATTATTTCCTTATCCTATTAGGATTATTTGGTTTCAAATTCTTTTTTCAGGACAATGACTATGTTTTGAACCCTTATTGTTTTCTGTGGAGATCATTGTCATCTTTAAATACATATACATACAGCATACATATATTCTGTTTTATAAAACAGAATATATGTTATAAATATATTTAAAAATAATATATATATATATATATACACATGTATATTTCAGCATGTTTTGAAAAGAAAAAAAAAATATTTATAACATATATTGTTTTATAAAATATAGAATTATGGAAGAACACACAAACAAAAACACGAATAAAGAACATTAACAAAACATGATAACATATGTTCTGTTGGTAATGTCGTTTAACATGTTTTAAATGCTTTTTCTTACCTATACATACTGTTAATCTGAATCTGTTAAGCATTTAAAGTTGTCAAATAAATGAATTAGGACTAAAAGACCACACTATTTCTCTCTGAAATGTAGAAGTCTAAAGCAGTAATGCAGAGAGTAAGCTTCAAATAGACACTAAAGAAACTTTAAAAAGAAGAAAACCCATTGAATACATCATTATATGAACTCATTTTTAAAAGACACAAAGATATCATCTCAAGCAACAACTCAGGGAAACAGTTTCCAATTTGAGGTTTTATTATCTGGAAAATTAAGTCTCAAAAAGTCAAGATACAATTGAATAACAAGGGCACACAAATTCAAAGTGAGATTTAATATATGGCATAATAATGCTTAAGATCTGTCAAAGAGTTTGCTCACACCAGCGATGACTCCAAATCAGCAGCAGGAAATCCATATCGGCCAAAATGACAGGTTCAAGTAAGACAAGTAAATACAGTTTGTGTTAGTCCTCAAGCAATTCAAAAAGAGAAAACACGCCTTTAAAAGAGAGAGTTAATAAGCAGTGATTTATCAACAGGAAATGTTAAACATCGAGCAAGGCAGTAAAATGATATCATTAAAACTACAATACAACCTCAGCCTAATGTGCATCCTTAAACTTAAATTAACTGACATCCTGAACACATTTAACACAGTTTTTTTTACAAAGCATTTAACACTGATGAACGAAATAAGAGCTGAAAACAGAACCATTCCATTAAAGAATAATTCAAAAATATTTATATATAAAAAAAAGGAAAATAATTGCAACCAATAGCACACGTTCACAATTAACACTAAAATTGGGTTTGCGATGAGCGGTTTTTGCCAAATTAACCCAGTTCTTTCAAAGCAAAAACCACATTTTCTTTTTACATTTGTCGTGTTTTCTTCCAGTTACACAGGAGGTAAAGGTACGTACCAGAATCTATGCTAAGCTACATCACGGTGTGACACAGAGAAACATAGTAAATACAGAAAAGGTGGATTATTGCGGCCTTTTAAAGACCTCAACTATGCAGGCAAGCTACATATCAAATCCATCCAGAGTGATTTCTAAAAGTGTATGTACAACATCAAGAATGCAGTCCGTTCTCAGGCATCTCAACATCTCCGACTCGTGACAGTTAGTTGGCTCAGATACAGTTCATAAATATTCGTTGAACCCGAAGGACTATCAACTACATAACCTAACATCTAATCCTGTTTCCTAATCCTGTTAAATCCTGGCATAATGTGGCAAAAAAAGAACATTTACATACAATTCAAAAACTACTTTACACCACATGTCCAGTATTTTCCTTCTTTTCCCTGTTTGAGAACACACACTGGACATGTTTACAGCTCGACACATCACCCACAGCACTGACCAATACTGATATCTATGTGGTGGAACTACATCAGAGACAAGAGGGACCAATTCAAGGTGCATACAGGTTATTTTGTTGGTCATTTGGTAGGTGTGGGTGGGATTACAAATCAACTGAGAGGCTGTGTGCAGGCGAAGGAAACATGCAGAGATGTCTATTCCCTTGTTACATAGTTGGAAATCTGGTACTCAAATCAAGGCTGGGTCATGATGCCAACAAGTCACACTCCTTGGCATAACAAGTTATCCTTTCATACACAAGTATCCAGGGGTTCCAGGTCGTCGTTGTGGTTTCTCAGTCTCAGGTGGAGGTGTGTGTGTGTTTCTCAGTGTACGTCAGGTGCTGCGTGCGCTCGTCCATTCTGTGTATTGTGGTGGTTTTGTTTTGTAAGCCGGTGTTTCTGCCTCTAGGTGTGCATGATTCTATGTGTACCAGTGTGTATGAAACCTACAGCGCTGTGTAGAGGGGGGGCCGACTATAGGAAAGCACTTGGGTTAGCTCGTGGATCTTTCTGGTTCCTGTAGCGCACGGCGAGCCACACTCCCAGGATCTGTTCAACACAGAAAGGGGAAATAAATAAAGGCATGTTCACACAGGAAAAGAGAACTAAATGTGTCAGCACTTCATCTCAAAATTAGCTTGGTGATGTAGAGCTGGTTGTTAAACTACCGTAGCCGGGAAACAGCCAACACATCAACACTGCCTCTACGAACGTATCCTTTTTGATATGAAATGTATACATATTCCACATCGAAGTGGAAGACACCCCGAGGAAAGCAACCGAAGATAGATTCCTCTCAAAAGATGTTGTGTGTATAGATTATAAAATATAATAGGACAAAGAGAATGACAATAATGATAATAGAAAGTGAAAAACATTAAAGTTATACCTCAATCTCTTTTACGCCGGAGCCTCACAGCCCACTTGAGGAGCGCACATGCTTAAAATGATCTCGGCGTGATTGTGAACTGGTCATAGCCGTGCAGGCCGTGTGAGAAACGCAATTCGGCGGCGTACCGTCACAGCTACAGATTCATGGTGTCGGCTTATTCAGGGTTCATACACTTTTTCACCAATGATTTTCCATGACTTTTCCATGACTTTTCCATGATCAAACAAATTACTCTTTCTCAGCGGTACCACTGAAAATGGTTTATTTGAACATGGAACAGGAAAATAAGGTCTGAAACATGTTGTGCCTTACTAAAACAAATCAAATAGGCTTACTAGCTTCTACAGACTAAAGCGACTAAAATCTCTCACCAGCAAAATACCTCGTCAGTTAAATTCCATTTTACGTTTCATTACTATACAGTATTTATTATCATTATAGTATTACTATTTCGGCGATTAGCTAAAATATAAATTACATTTGATGCAACTTTAGTTACATTCCCATGACTTTCTCCAAAACTTTGGGAAAAATATTGTTTTCCATAACTTTTCCAGGGCCTGGAATTAGCATTTTGAATTTCCATGACTTTTCCAGGTTTTTAATGACCGTAAGAACCCTGCTTATTTCAGTTATGTGCCGTGAGCAGGTCACGGCCAAAAGGTTCTTTAATGTTGAACAACAACACCATCTCAATGTTTATATTTAGAGAATATGTCACATACATAATAGGAAGTACAAATGTATTTTAAAGGTCCCATGTCATGCTTTTCCGGTTATTACCCGTCCCCTTGTGTGTTATGTAGCTTTTTATGCATGCAGAGTCAAAAACCCTCAAAGTACACCCTGTAGCGAGTAAAGCTCTAACACAGAAAAGACCTGTCTGTGCTGCCACAGAACGCCTCGTTGGAGATTTCTCCTTTTCCATTGGTTTCTTCCGGAAACCAAAATGGACCAATCCACGGAGCTCCTCACACACCAGGATCCCTTGGCGTCACTATCAAACGCAGTGGGGGGACCTTTAGCGTACATGTTCAACTAACAGGGAGTCCCATTGACTTGCATAGAGCTCCCTGGTTGGTAATAGACGAGTTGGGATGGCGGAGAAACGCCCTCCGCAGACCCATTCCCACAGCGTTTATAAACCTTTTTCTTACTCAATATCAAGCCACACTTATTGTTTTTACTTCGGCTGTGAGTGTTTGTGTGTGCTCAGGATGAGTTTCGCGCTGTCTCGCCATCCCGGAAACCACACCAGTAAGCCAGCTCACTGAGCAGCGAGCCTCGCAACGTCCCGACCAATCAGAGCACACTGGGCTCACAGGGAGGGGGGGGGGCAGGAGCTCCAACAAGGTTTAGGACAGAGAGTGAATACACATACTTTACAGAGATGCTGAGAAACCAATGTGAGTTTGGAAAATTGCACAATTTAAATCTATTCTAGTAGACATCAACAATGGAATTATGATCAGTAGAAATGGCCATGACATGGGACCTTTAAAACAAATATATATTAGCAAGACACTGTTGAAAATGCAGCGACTTAAACACCTCCATAAATGAATGGAGTAGCTGCTGTTGCCTATAGGTTTGTTTATTTAAGCCAGCACACAATTCCTAAGTATTTGTATTATGATAGTAAATATTTAGGTATTTATGGACGCTTGTATTTGTTTGTGTATATTTTGTGAAATATATGTTGTAACTGCAGGTTTTAAAAAGGCTATAAGGGTATTATCATAATCCCTCTGGCTTTTGCTCTCAGCATCGTGCATGATTTCATTCAGTCACTTAACTCTTTTTCACTCAAAGGGATATTCATACAGTTTACTTCACTGTCTCACAACTGTACGCAAACTGTTTACATTCCCTCTGAATGGAGGATATAACATCCAGTCAGAGGGAGTATAAGTGGGCGATAAGCTACCAGGGCTGTAGTGAAGCTTTGAAGCTTCATTCATAACGCTGACATTCAAATGCCAAATCATCATTTGAGTTGCTGCGCAGCTTTTTTTCTGCCTGTCTATTTATTCTGTTTAAACCTCGTTTTCTGCACAGCAGCAGATGAAGCTTAGGCTTCAGTACAAAACATGTGGGGGTGCCATGCAAGAACTGTTAATCGTTGCTAAGTCAAACAGTTTAAAAAAACAACAAATGTAATGCGTTCAGACTGTTTGCTCTCCTGCCTGCTGTTTACAGGGCAGCAGCAACACAGCACCATGAATTACATTTATATCACCACAGATATATTAAAGTATGCTCTTGGTCACAGTTCAAAATGTCGGTGTTAAAGTTCACCAAAGTTAGACTGAACTCAAAATATTTGCACATATTTATTTTGCCCTCGCAAGCAATGGTCCACTAACGATGGATGAATTGATGTTGCCATTTTTAATGGTCCAAAAATCTAAACTGACAACCTTGAGATTCCTGGAGTATTTGCTCTCTGAGAAAACACCAATATGAACTTGATGGATAATCTTTATTATTACATGGCTTAGTTGAATACTCGATTCCGATTGGTCAATTCAGAACACGTGACACGTTGTTAATCCAGAACAGACAGTTGTTAATCCAGAACGCTGTCAAGGACTATTGACTTAAGGACGCTCACATCTGCACATCTGCACAAAGAAGTCCGTTCGATTTAACTGTAAACAGTTTGGCCGAAAAGCAAACGGCATGCAATTTACTTTTCAAACTGGGACAAGAAAACAGCGGGGAAGTAACGGGGCAGAAACCCTCCTTTTTACGCAACCGTCCAGACAGACATCAAACGGCGACACATATGTGACCTGCTCTATCGAAATTCGCATTGACCCGAAGACACGTTTTGAGTTGTATACACTGCTGGAAAGAGGAGATTCCTAGCTTTCTAATGATATCAGGATTGTTTTTGTACTCCAAATATTAAGCGAAATATGTCACATTATATAATGACTGTCACCGAGTTATCATTTTGAGAAAAAGGCCGTAAAGTTTCCTCTTCTCTGGAATCCATCGATCTGATTGATTATTAGCAAATGATCAAAATACTACGGAGGGAAGATATTTTCGTTTGGATTACTGGTCTGGGGGAAGCTCGCGAGTGTGTGTGTGTGTGTGTGTGTATACGAGTGTGTGTTTGTGTAATTTTGCATTTGTGTGTATTGTGTTTGTTTCCCGGGGAAAACCCTCACGAGAAACACCGGCTGTTGTTATGCCTGCTGTGACGTTAAGTTACTCCGTTCTCCGCTTGTAATTATGCCGAAGCTTCAAAGTTGTATTTATCATCTGAATTTGCCGAAACAAGTTTAATATTCTGAAAGCCAAGACTTTGTTTAATTGAAATCAGATGAAAACAAACTGTAACGGACCCTGCCGTGTTATCTATGATTACTATACTCTTACATTCATAATGTCAGCCGGAGGGAGGGGGGGCGGCGCTGCGGAAGAGCAGATTGCCTGTCATCTTCCCTTTACAAGCTTAAAGAATGTATTTATCGTGTGATTTTGGAAATAAAAGTTTCATATTCTGAAAGCCAAGACTTTGTTTGTTTAAAATCAAACAAAACACACAAACCCCGAAAAAATAGTTTTTTACGCAAATCCACGTTTATTTTGAAATGAGCCGTTGCGACTTCCGACTGATTTCGATAGAGCGGGTCACATATTCAGTTGCCAGTTACTTTGTCATCAGGGCAGGGATATCTAGATACTCCAAGGTTTGATATAATGAGTTGTGCTACTTTTAAAGCAAGCAGCGATGTTTTCAAATCTGTAATCAAAAAGCTCCTCGAAAACGCTATGGAAGCACTTCCTGCTACGTAGCTCAAACAGTAACAACGGACTATTTTTCTTAGCGGATGCTTGTCAATTTAAATAAATAATAGCCTACTACTTTTTAAATCAATAAAAACTTTTTCTAAATCTATAAAAGCATTTCAATTAATATTGGGAGTCATATCGTTACTTTGTCGAGAATGTGGCCATGTAATAAGCGGGATAATGTGCAGCGATAATGACCGCCTCGCTGCACATTGTCCCTTACTTGTACCTCATTCACACCAACGCAACTCTGGCTCAAGCTCCGTGCTAGAGCTTTTCGGGTTCAGAACCGGTTCTTCGGTTTAGCTCCGGCTCTTTTCACACAGCCCAGAGTCCGACTGGTGCTGCGTCATTGCGTCATCGTTTGCGTCATGACGTAACCGTTTGCGTGCCTGCTTCATAAAGCCAAACCGCGCGGAAACCCCTCACAGCTGACACCGACAACAACAACAACAACAACAACAACAATGGCCGATTGTGCTCCAGCTTCCTCTGTACCTCTTCGGAAGACCAGATTCCCAGTAGGTAGCTGGTCTCTTCAGTGGACCACTGCTGCTTGTTAAGTTTCTCCATCGTTGTGTACAAACTGGATAAAACGCCGGCTTCTTGTTGTTGTTCAGGAGTTGATCCCGCCCCTGCCCCCGCCTCGACGTAAGCGTGACGTATGCGGTGCTTTTGCTCTGGCCGGACAATTTTTTGGTGCTTGAAACGAACCGGATTCCGGAGCTAAGAGGCTGCTCCGCTGCGGTGTGAAGAGGAAAACCTGGTGCTTTTCAAGCTCCAGCTCCGAACCGGCTCCGAACCGGCCCCGAAACACCGTTGGTGTGAATGAGGTATTATATGAGCAGATGTAGGTTTGTAGAACGGACGCTCACCTCTGTGAAGCTGAAGAAGAGCCCGACACCCCCGAGGATCTTCAGAGCCTCGGTTGCATGATTCAGCATTTTGTCCCCGCAGGTGAAACAGCTAGTGTTCTTTTTGCATAACTGGAAGCAAAGACACAGAAAAGAGGCCTTTAGTCTTCAGATAGTGTTATCAGCATTCTCTACCAAAATCTATTCTGAGAACTTCAGAATGTTGACTGCTTTTAACTTACCCTGGGGGTATATTGTGTAACAGGATTTATATAGTGAGACTGCAGCAGCTATCTCTGATGCAGTAACATTTGTATTTAAAGAACCCCTTATATAATGTCTGAGATACGGAATGTTCATTTTGTTTCACTACACAGAAACCTAACTCCGCGGTTGCACCGTTTCAGCCATTTGTCTTGATGAAGATGTGAACATGTTAGACTCACAGCGGGGCAGCTCAGCAGGTCCTGTTCAAACTGAATGTGGGTGGAGGTAGAGTTGAGCAGCCCGCAGCAGTTCAGTTGGCTCTCCAGGTCCGTCTTCGTCTTGTTTTCCAACATTCCCCAAGTGGAATTCAGAAGTGTCTCCTGCAAATAAGACAACAGTTGAATTAGGGGTGGGCGATATGACGATATATATCGTCGAGACGATATTAGGTCTCCACGATATGCCTTTTCAGAGATATCATATCGTGATACAGAGAGTCACTCAGTCATAGAATGTGAGTGCACCATGGTAGGATTTTCACGGCGGCCATGACGGCCTGTCTGGCCGTGAAGCCCCGAAAATAATTGTACGTCCTACGGCCACCATGGCCTGCGTGCCCCTGATACTGTTAAAACTCGAAGTTGCTTTAAAAGCGACAGAACAGTGGTTTCTGAACTGCGTAATGCTGCGTTCACAACGGACGCAATGCGAATATTCTCACCCTAACCGCTGGAGTTTCACCACGGCTGTCAGCTGTGTTTACTCCTGTCACTCAAACAGGACGCGCTGGAGAGGGGGCGGGGCTTATATCCATGTAAATACTGTGGTGGAAACCAACTACGACAAAATTAACCTATTTTACCGTGATTTAATTGTAATACACGTTTCAAAGTGATGCCGAAGTAACTACATACTGATAACGGTTAGTAAAAACCAAGCTGTCAGGATGCAGACAGTATTGCACTTGATCAATAAGGTATTTATATTGTGTCTTTTGAAACAGATGTTCAGTTATGCTAAAGTCTTTGATTGCACTTCAAGTCTAAAGTTTACATTTTAATTGTTTGGCACTGACTTTTCTTCATTGGTGTTTTATGTTTTACTTGGTTATGTTTTACTCTCCTTTTCATGTTTATTGATGTTACATCACTGCTCGTGCTACCTAAAACAGAAAGTGCATTTTTATACTGAGAAACTGTGCCTTGAATATTTTATTTTATTTAGCAAGAGAGTGCACTTTACTTGGTGAAAAAGGCTACTTGAACACTGAGGAAGCCATATCAACATTCCTGTTGAATTGTTCATTCAGGGATTCATTGCAGAATCAAAACCAGCTTGAAATGGTATTTTGGTCTGTTACTCCTTTTTGTTTTAGTTTGTGTTACCTTGTAGGTGGTTGTACTGTTAAGTAACTTGACAAATAACCATAATAACCGACATGAAAAAATATCGTGATAAATATCGTCTATCGTGATACTGCTTGAAAAATATCGTGATATTATATTTTTCAATATCGCCCACCCCTAAATTGAATCCAGTTTCCTGCAGTCTCAAAACGATGTATGTATGCAGACATAAAGAGTTATCTCACCTGCTGCCCACGGTTCATTGCCAAGCAGGAACTGGAAACTCCAAATTGGAACAGGAAAACGATGAAAAGAATCACCATGTACTGAGGAGCAAAGTTAAGGAAAGTGCAAGAACATGGAAAATGCAACTACATTTCCAAATCAGTGACATTTAACTGCACCTGACCCCTGCAGGTCTCCCTTGAAAAAGAGATCATTGATCTCAATGGGATTTTACCTGGATAAATAAAGGTTTTGAATTGAATTGAATAAGGATACAAAGAAGAGCAGGACTTGGTGGTGGTGTATCGCTCCGATGAGTCCAACGATAGCGATGAGCAGCAGGAACACGCCCACTGCGATGACCCCTCCTATGATGTGGATGCTCGACACCAAGCCGAACCCCTTCCCCCATGCTGCCACCCCGATCAGCAGCAGCCCCACCAGCTGAGGAGAGGAAGTTAACCAGAGGCAGCGGGCATTTAGTGGGACTGAGCTCATCATGAAGTCACGGTCACCGCTACCACAAACAACAGTCATCTTTTAAATACAAGTTACTTATGTTTTCAGGTCTTTAAGAACTCTATGAGGATTCAAATACAAGTGCAAGCCTCCTAAATAATGCTAAATATTGCAGGTGAAGCGCAGTCACAGAAAAAGAAAAAAAGCTGACTCAAAGTTGAAATGCTAATAACTCTTCCCATGCCTCTGGCTCGTGAGACTGCTGGTATCTGGGGGATTTCCAATGATCTAAAAACACTGAAATCATTGTTACATTTTTATTTATTTAATTGATTAAGACTTTTCTTTTTGCCGCTGCTTTTAATTGAACTATTTACGTCTTAAACTGCACTGTAAACTTGTATTTATGTATGTTGTCTTTTAATGTTTATTCCATTATCTTTGATTTTTAATGACTGATTTGAAATGCATTTTTCTTAATGTCTTTCATGTTTGCAAAGCACTTTGAATTGCCTTGTGTTGAGAAGTGCTATATAAATAAACTTGCCTTGATGACTATAAAAAAGAAATATAACTTCACAATTTTTGATTGATTGTTGTCTGATCACAAAAGGTTGAACTTTCTCACAAAGAGGCTTGTTGTCCTTCTTGTCTTTATTCGTCTGCCGTCACTGTTCTGGTTCTACTCAGCAGCATCACACTCGTGACACTGAGTGACTCATCTGCCAACATGATTTCTGGCATGTGCACATGCTCCAAAGTTTTGGGACAGGGTGGGAGGCGGGGTGGGGGGCGTCTGAAGAGTTCCCTTCAGCAGCAGTGAGGCTAACACTGTGTCACAACAGAAAGCAAACAACGCAATGCTACCTTTACCCCCACGGTGCATACCTGGCAGGCTTAGAAAGGGTTACGACAGCAGGTGAACGTGAGACACAATTAAGACGATTTTAACACTATCAAGACGTTTTTTATAATCTCTAAAAATATTAGGAATGCATCTCATGATGATAAAGATATTGGAGTTGCCAAAACCTTTAACCATTATAGTACAATATTAGGGCTTATTAATCTATTATTATTCTCAGTTATATTCTCAACTACATGTACGTTACACTATATGTTCCTTTTGTTGGTTCAAAATACCAACAAATTATATATCTTTTTAAAATAAAAAGGCAAAGAAATGCATAAAATACTCCCTTTTAAGAAGTTAGATCTATTAATTATATTGTATAAATAGGATTTAAACAATTGTATTTTTTTTAACTAATTTCGTACATTTGTTTTTTGGCACCTTAATAATAATCTAATTGTTTCATTGGTACTCTCTTTCCAGCAGATACATTTCCCTCTGACATGTAAAGTTCTTATCTGAATGGGCTAATCTATTCACCTCAATATACAGAGGAATTGCAGATAAAAAAGACAGGTCAGTTAAACATTAATGCCCTGTTGCCCACTGACACACATTGACCAACAATACTTAACAGAGTGTGAACAATTCAGTAACGTAACAGTGAGAGACTAAAACCAAATACACAGCTGTCAATGCGCCACAATGCAACAGCCCAGCAAAACAACATCGTTTTGGTTATGGAAGTCATTTCTTATATCCTCACATCAGTGCCTTGAAAAAGCTGTCAAGCACACTGACATGGCAGAGAGGTGACACATCTAGCCTGGTTTCAAAATGTAGGAATTATCAGGTGAAAAAGAAACTATTTGCACAATGATGTGATCCATTATGTACAGGGGACCTCATTATTTAAAATGAACAAATCGAAGATTGTTTGTTAGCTGTAGGTCCCCTATGTTATCAAAAAAGACTTGTTTCTTAACAAAATGTTAAACAATTCTAAAACGTTATAGTGACATATTTTGATGAGTATCTGGATATATTAATGTTCGTATCATCCCATGCCTTTGACAGCTGGTTATTTTTAAGTTGACATTGTTAAGGCCATCAACCTAATTCCACCTCATTAAAAATATAAGGAAGAGCAGAGTTACAAAATAACATAATCCACACCATTAACCAAAGCCTAAATATCCATTGTTATTAAATACAGTCTCTCAGTTGAACCATCAGTTCAGGGTGAGTTAGCTGTGATGAAGTCAACATGTTGACTATCACAACTCACATGACTGACACACAAACAAACTCTGAACCGATACATCTAGCTGTGACAGGCTCGGGTGGCTAATGAGAAGAGGCGATGTGGTGATAAACCATTCAAGAATCTCAATTTCACATTTAATTTGTTAAGGGGGTCAGCCGGCCTCCCAGCTGACGGTAGCTTCGTACACATAATGGCGATAGCTTACAGGCTAGCTAAAAATAACTACATGTCTATCTACATAGCTACCGTACACTAGACATTACTAACGTTTTAAAACATACACCGAAGAGAAAATACTTCATACCTTTAATTGGCTGCAAAATAAAAGCATAACATATGAAACAAAAGGCAAAATCAGTCATCTTTCTGTGTCGTAGCTAACGTTGCTAGCTAGTTGTCGTTTATTCAGAAGCTAGTAAGGCTAAGCTAACGGTTCTAGCTCAAAGTTAGCATGATGATCCATTTTGAACACTCACCATGTACACCACATTCAGGGAACAAAGCGCATTTTTGGAACAGGTGAAGCCGCCACAGACCATATTCGAAAAACCTCTATGGGCTAATTAATAAAGATGAATATAATAAAATAAAAGGTCTCTCCGGAGCGCTAAACGTCTGGACTCAAATGTTTTTGGTCAGCGGAGAGGGCGTCGCTGATGACGTAAACACCGCATCTGACGTAGGGGGTAAACACAAATCATACGTCATCGTTTTAGGGCAAAAAACAAATCTGGAAAAATCTGTAATGATAAAGAAATAATTTCTTAATATTTAAACTATATGTTCAATTATACCTATCCAATATTTCAGCCTGTTCTGAAGTGCTTTGGATTTTTGGATTTGGATGAAAAAGAAATCAAATTAAATCACTGGTCATAAATATACACTGTTTCCACAACCCATGTTAACTTGTCACTTTAACTTATTCCGCACTTTATAACTTAGATGATGACCTAATATGTATATATGCTGACAGTTATTTTACTCTTATTTGTATTCATCTCCTATTTTCATAGTCTTTTATTATTATTATCATTATTTCCTTGATTTTACGTTATTTATTATTTATTTTAGATTTTATTGATCTGTGTGAATCTTTGCTGTACTGTTTTTTTCACGCTTACAACTGAATTTCCCCTTGGGGATTAATAAAGGTTCATCTTATCTTATCTTATTCCAATTCTACAAATGTTTATTTATGATCCAGCAAATGTTATGGGACCTTTGTTTTAGATGTATATTTAAAAAAACATATAGGGGGTGGGGGGAAGTGATTGAACACACATATGTTAGATTACATATAGACTTCACAAATGACCATGAATTTATCTTGAAGAAATGGCAAACACAAACAAAACAAAGTACAAAAAACAAGTGCAAATGCAAACTAGCTGTGAAAACTAGGCTATAGTTTACATTGTCTTAACGTAAATTAGTTGAATATTTATTTCCAGTGTTTCATAGCATACATATAACCAAACACTGCGTTTGGAATCATCATGTGTTGAGATTTTCAATATGGAAAGTTAAGCTGTTATTAAAAACATGTAAAAACAAATCAATAAAATAACATTAAAACATTTAAAAGGGTTTAAAGGACTGGAGATGGAGGTGTGTGTGTGTGTGTGTGTGTGTGTGTGTGTGTGGCCTAGCATTACTATACTTGTGGGGACCTAAATCTGTTTACATAGTCACGTGTGGGGACTCGCCTCCCTTATGGGGACAAAATGGAGGTCCCCATAAGGGGAATAATTAATTTTAGGGTGAAGACTTGGTTAGGGTTAGGGTTAGGGTAAGGGTTAGGTTTAGGGTTAGGCATGTGTTGGTTATGGTTAAGGTTAGGATAAGTCTCCAGGAAATGCATGTAAATTAATGTAATGTCCCCTGAAGTGATGTATACATGGTATGTGTGTGTGTGTGTGTGTGTGTGTGTGTGTGTGTGTGTGTGTGTGTGTGTGTGTGTGTGTGTGTGTGTGTGTGTGAGCACGTTAAGTTTTATATGAACTCTGTGGCGATGACAGGACACTTGTTGCAATGATTACACAATGAGGCCTGGCAACACATCAGGGAGACATCTGTTCTACAGCATGACCCAAAAAAGACAGGGAAATGTTGAGCTCTGTTTTAAAGTCATGTATTTCCTCATAAATTTGATTTCTAACCAATTCCGCAAATTGCACGGTTCAGAAAGTTAATCTCTAATATCCTGTTGCTGTGGAGCATGGAGCTGCTCATATTGAATTACAAACCAGAACATAAACATTAGCATCTGACTCACTGCCAACTTAGTTTTGTCAACAACAAAAAATCTGATTATGAATGTGATTGCTAAAATGTGTGTGAATAGATAACATGATTGCAAATAAGCAACATGTAACTTTTGTTGAAATAGACTTGTGGTTTGAGAAGGGAAAAGTATTGTGTAATTCGAATATTCTCACAAGCTTAATCATCTTGTTTCACAAAAGGCTCTGCAGAATTATGACAGCACATCCTGATACCTAATGTGTGGCATAATGTTAGGCCAACACATCCTTTAACAGGAGCTTCCATAGAAATACTCACTAAGCTGATAATCCTTTATGTCCAACAGCGGGGACATGTTACAACTGCAAAGGGACAGCATTGAAAGGCAACATTAAAACAAGTAGATACACATAATTTAAAAAAGAGCAAGCAAACATGTAATACTATCAAGTTAGTACACAACCTCTGACAGCAGTGAATATGTCACAGCTAAAAGTGTCTTATAACCAACACATTAAAGTTTCAGAATGAATGTGTTTTTACATTATTGTTTCTTTATTATTGGCTGTGAAGTGTTGTGTGAGACAAACGGCAGCTAGCGTCATCTTTTCACTTGTGTGGCCGCAGCATTCAGAGCTGCCGTGTATTCGGAAAATATGGTTTGAAATAAGGAAGTGAATTCAGTTCAGTTTGAACCTGAGGAGGAAACTGAGACACTTTGTCGTGCGTTGACTTTGTGGTCTGTGAGAACGAGAGAGACACCCTGAGGCGCAGCAGCTTCTTTTACTGCGTCCTGAAAAGTTTGCGTTCGTCTTGTGAGAACAAGAGCAGCCGGGAGTTCAAATGGGCTGAAGCGAGGCTCTTTAAGCTTCAGTTTAAAAAAGAGATCCATGTGTCAGGATGAACAGCAGCAAGTCAGTCAACTCCACTGCAATAAGAGCAGAGATCAAGAGGCACGAGTCTCTCCAGAGTGCAATCAACAGACTCTCCAAGCAGTTTGAAAGAGTGGAAAATCCACAGCTACGCTCAGGTCTTAAAGTGTTCCTGCACAGCATTCAAGGTAAGCTCATCTTCGTTGTTTGTAGGGAAGAAAGCTACACATTACCTGTATGCTAAGGTTTGTATCGACAGGTGCATGATCTCAGTCTCAGGGTGTTCACTTTAATAGATTTCTTGTCATCATTAACAGGAAAAATCTTTTAGTTCACAGTGAGTTTTTCTCGTCATCCACATTATATTTGGTGTGTGGGGTAACATGATAGCGTAGGTGACAGATATGTGCTTCCTGTGTCAGTCAGTGTGTCTCATTCGGGGAAGTTGACGCGCATTTTCATTCTCATGTCACTCTGGGGACAAAAATCCACCTCCTGTCGTCCGGACGTTTATTTATTATCTGTCAGCCTCTGGACACGAGGCGACCAATGGCAACATCCCTCAGCAGCCATCGCCATGGCAGCAGGATGAAACCTGCTGTGCGGCCTACTTCCTGTCTGCCATTCTGCAACTGCCCTCAAAGCCACTTCCTTTCAGACAAACAGAGGCCTTTTACATGAGAAGCTGATCAGTTTGACATCATTTCCTCTTAATCTGTACTTCCCATCTTTTCTTGTTAATGTGACACAATGTACTGTCGAATTCTCTCTGCTCACATGCAACATTTTACTGCAAAAGATGCACATAGGATCCTTTGATTAAGAAAAAGCTGCAATCACAAAGTAAGAGCATGTTGTTATAAGTAAAAAAAAGACATGCATTTAAAATTCTTCATAAGCAAAATGTACTTAAAATATAAAAAGAAAAGTACTTTAAGTATTTTAAAACTAAGCTCATTTACTGGAGTACTGAACAATGTTGATGAACTTGTACTTTACTTGAATATTTCCATTACCGTTATACTTTCACTTACTTAGAAATATTGCAGTCATTGCTCAATAACAGTTATCTGAGGGTTAAAGTAACATTTCAGATTAAGATTTTAAGTAGAAATCGAAATAATAACATAACAAACAGTATACTTACATGTTAAAAAATAGTTATTGTTGTACTCGTTTAAGGATACTGTTGATACTGTTTTTCCATTACCTAAGCAGAATTGTAAATGCAATATTTTGTACTTGTGGTGGAATATTTGTCATACTGAGTCATACTTCATCCACCTGATGAATCACGGCGAAGCCAAACCTGAGCATAACAAATCATACACATAACTGGAAACACCAGTGCAGTGTTGTGTCACAATGCATCAACAGTGCTGTCACAACATTAGATTTTCACAAAAAATAATATATTATAAAGTCATAGTGATATCTAATGAAAACGTTATGCTTCCTGTCAAATCCATCTAACGTTTTTGTGCGTTTTAATTACATTCCAAATATGATCGTGGAGTGAGTCTATAACAATAACTTTCTAATGGATTATTAACATAGCATTATTATATTAACATCATTATATCACAGTTACGTCAATACCCGTATATCGCAACACATATCATATTCACCAAATCATGTTTGTCTGTAAAGGAAAATCAATGATAGTTAGATAAAGTATTTCCCTTTTGTGATGTATCATTGATGTTAAAAGCTGTAGAAATAAAGTAAAGCACACATACCTTGGGATTGTACCTGACTGCTTTACACTGTGGTCAGATTGGGTGGAATATAATAACCAGTTTACATTTTGATTTCATCCGTCCATTCATTAGCTGTTTGTGTGTGAAATTCGGGTCAATCAGCCCCCGGGTGGATTTTGGTAAAGCTTTGAGGTCTTTTTAGGATCTGGCAGACCTACACGCTCCCAAAAGCACATCCTCTCTGTGTTAAAACATTCATCTGAATATTTTGTTTGTATAATTAGGCTGCTGGAGAGAGGATCAAAGTCAGTGTATCCTCCACGGGGGCCTGGATCTGTGAATGTAGGGTTCACTGGGGCTAAGAAGAGATCCACCTCTCTTTTTCAGTCTTTTGGACTTAATAAGCGTGCGGGATGTGGTCGACTGACTGTGTGCCAGAGTAAAGGAAGGGGATGGAGATGGAGATGGAGAAAAGGGTTGAGGTGGAGCTAAATGAAGGCATTTCAATGTGAATCTAACTGGTGGTGTTCACTGCAGCATGGCAGCAGAGCGAGGGGGGAAAGATAGAAAGGACAGCTTCCAGTGAAGGAGAAATGAAAAACCACCCAGCATGACCACTGCCCTTGGCCAGCGTCCATCTGACAGCACACACTCATAGGTGTGTGTGTGTGTGTGTGTGTGTGTGTGTGTGTGTGTGTGTGTGTGTGCTTAGCCTGTATGCATGCATGTGAGTCTCTTCACTGAGAGTGTTTCTAAAAAGTGTCTGACTGAAGACAACCTGATTTTCAAACAGTATGTGGGTGTCTATTTCACAATAATTAGATTAACTGTGCAGCAGTGCAAGCTGCAGCAGCCCGATGTGCACTTTAACTCACCCAGTCCTCACGCTTCATGTTGAAATTGGATTTTTACACATGTATAACGTCACCCCGCCTGTTAGGATTTATACCTTTCTGAGGTTTTTAATCGTGACTCTATTTCAGTGGTGGAGGGTGCTGTCCTCTCTCAGGTCGTGTGTTTCCCCCTTGAGTTAAAGGCAGTGTGTTGTCAGGGGTCGTTTGTATTCAGAGGGAGTAGTTATTGCCCTCTCCCTGACTGTGAAGGGAGGGGGGGAGGGCGGGCCGAGCAGGTGGACAGTCAGATCGTGTATTATGGAGGGAGGCTGGCGCACTGTGGGGAAATGCATCCTCTGATTTCACATCAAGGATTTGTTTTTGTATCAGATAGTGATTAACATGAAATTACACCCGGCAGTAATGAGAGATGGATGTGTGTAATCACGTTTGCTGCAGTGATTCTGTTCTTGCATGCAGAATAATTGCAGCAGTTTTTCTTACTTCATATAAATTCCTAACTCTTTGTTGAGAATGAGTCGAATATAAATGTGTTTATTGGAACTATTTCGATAATGTACTCATTGTTTTAAGTACATTTTCGAGTAAAAAGGCCAAATATATTATGGTTTCAGCTTCTTAAAATGTGAGAATTTGTTGCTTTTTCTTGTCCTGCATTATAGAAACGTTGATTTCTAAATGTTAGTTGGACTAAATGTGACATTCAATGACATCAATTTGGCCTCTTGTAAATTGTTAGGGACATTTTTCTGAACATTTCCTGATATATGGACAAAATGATTAATTGAGAAAATAATATTGGAAGATGATGGAAAAATATTTGGTTTTATTATAGTGTATGCACAAAGAGGTTGTAAATGAGTTACTGCATCTAAATCAAAAGGACACGTGATCACCTACTTTAAATCGACATTCATCCTATAAGAGGATTAAATGGATGTCCTTTTTAATCACACAGAAATAGCAATATATCTGTTTAATATGTTTTTGCATTCTGTGGTCCAAGTATTGATGTCCAATATGCTCTGCTTCATGCTGCGAGCCCAGAGCTTACTTCTGCTAATGAACACATGCCGTAGCAGGCAATAGACTACAGATCAATACACTCACAGGAAATCTCTTTCACTCACATGTACATTCACAGAGAGTAACACCATTTTGATACAGAGATGCTGGGAGCGATTGCGTTACAGAATGGAGGAAGAGGAGGAGGAGGAAGGATATGGAAGAGATGATGATTGTGCCACCAGAGCCAGGAAGATTGCAACACCTTAGCAACAAACAAGCCAAGCCTCCTACTGAGGAGGAGCCACAGACACACACACACACACACACACACACACACACACACACACACACACACACACACACACACACACACACACACACACACACACACACACACACACACACACACACACACACACACACACACACACACACACACACACACACACACACACACACACACACACACACACAAGCAGACAGCTGAAGACAGATGGATAATCCTGATGAAACTGTTCTGGCAGCTGTATACATGAGAGAGGGAGCAGACACTTTGCAAACACACCCTGTTGTGTCCTTTTCCCTCCAAAAACATGCCTCCATCTTTCTTTCTTTTTTGTCCTTCCTTACCAACCCTGCCTGCTTTTCTCTCCACATTTCCTTCCGCGGTCCCCCCTCATTTAGCAGGTCTGTGCACTGCCGCTTTACCACCAGCCGTCACCCGCTGCCTCCCCCCTCCTCTCCGGCACGCAGGCAGGGAGAAAGATGGAGGGGAGGGGATGATGGGTGTGGGGATGGGAGGGATGAGCAATAAAGCGCCTGCACATTCAGAGAGGCAGCAGAGAGAAAATAAATGAGGGAGAAGCAGGATCCTTCTGCATTGTATGGATTGCTTATTGGAACAAGGAGGGGCATGTAGAGGGAGGGACATCGGAGACCGGGGGAGAGAAACGCAGAGTGTGAGCTGTGCATGTTTGCGGGTGTGTGTGTGATTAGACTCGTTGAACCTGTGCGTCGGTGTCTCTATCGGCTCCTCCGTGTTGTCATGCTCCACGCCTGATGCCGCGCGCAGGACGCAGGCTGCCCGGTACGCGCCCGGTGATGGCCGGACGCGCCCTGACTCGGTCCTCCTGCTGCACATATCCTCCCGGGCTTCTGCTGGCTTCTCATCCTGATCCCCTTCAGCCCTCGTCAATGTCCTTCCCTGCCGCTGAGTGGATGCCGCTGTCATCACACATGTGTGGCTCGCAGTGAGAGCCCATGATCTGGACTGGATTGCTCTGGGGTGCCATGCTGCTTTAGGGTGACACTGATTAATTTTTAAAGACTTTACCTTTTTTACAGCTGCTGGTGATCATATTTTTTGATGGCGTATGATGCGGGAAGTTGTTATTCTGAATTGAATCCAGAAGAGGATTGCCTGAGCAACATACAATATGGGGGGTTCTGCACATGAAAATAAGGTCATGTAAATAATTATAATCTGGAATGAGTCACCATAACGAAGATTCATTTGCTTGAGTAGCTGCATACATATGCAGTGGATAGATTTTAATTGGTTGTTTTCAAGGAACAATAGAGCAGCTTGACAGTGTGCTGAAGGTTGTCAGGAATGGTGGATTTTCCTGAAATGAAATTTACAGTCAGAGAAGAAATCCGTGACTGAAATTCCAATCCGAAACAAAGAATTTCGAGACTTGGGGGATGGATGAAACCAAAAGCCACTCTGCTGTCGTATCTTCAAAGGAGAAACTTAATCTGCCTCAATGTACGTTTTTCGTTGTGCAGTCAGATTCTCTCACGTCCCAACACGCTGGCAAACTGTCAGTCGTTGATGTCGCTCTGTCTGGTTTCATTCATCTACTGTGTGTCCACTGAAGCCTGAACACATGAGCGGAGGCGGCGCCCTGCAGCAACGCACCACCTACCTCATCTCCCTCACCCTGGTCAAGGTAGAGGCTGTTGAGGAGAATGGAGGGGAGGCCAACAACAGCAACCAGGGGAAGGAGGTGGTGGAGGCCGGGCCTGGAGGAAGGGAAGGAGAAGAGGCCGGGGCCGGAGTTGAGGCTAAAGGTGAAGCACGGGCTGAGAATGGAGCTGGACAACCACCAAAAGCTGTAGATGATGTGAAAGATGACAAGTTATTGGATGAACTTAAAGATGGAGATAGAAAGCCCCTCAGCCCCCTGAAGGATAAACTTCCACCATCTGTGGACGTCCCAAGCAAAGGGAGTGAAAAGCCCCCGTGCAACCTCTCCATCCCCTTACCTCCGGAGAGGGCAACGCTTCAGAAGACAACGTCTGCCGAAACTGACCTAACAAGAGTCCAGAAGACACCTTCAACTCCTGAGGCGAAGCAATGCAGGTCACCATCACTGACCCCAACGCCTCCAACAGAGATGGTGGAGCCGACTCGCACCCCGACCAGGACCAGCCTCCCCATCCGCCCGATGGGGCAGCGTCCTGTGAGTCTGCTGAAGTCTCATAGCAACGTGGCCACCCGGGGTCGCGAGTCCAGGGACGGAAGAGAGCGAAGCCCTACCTCGGCGCAGAGCCTGGACAGAAAGGACTGCCGGATGCCCACGCGGTCTCCGGGCCCCTGTAGGGCCTCGTGGGCCGAGGCCAGCAGGCCCGACGCATGGAGGATGGACGAAGCTCAAGCAGGAATGCCTCTGGAGATCGGAGGTAGCATGGTTGCGGTGATGAGAGACCAACCCAGAAAAGATAGGCTAAAGACCGGGTCGGCGTCCCTACCTGGGCCTCCGAACCAGACCACCAAGCCGGGACGCAAAGGTAAAAGCCGCACGCTGGACAACAGCGACCTGAACAGCCTGTCTGAAGACCTGGGGTTAGCCAGGGAGAACCAGCAGGCCCAGCAGGGGCAGCGAGGCTCCGCTAAAGACAGGAAGATGCTCAAGTTCATCAGCGGGATCTTCACAAAGAGCAGCTCGGGGGCGGCGGGGTCTTCCTCCACAGCGCCGCCGGTCTACATACAGAGAGACTCCAGTGAGGAAGAAGGTAGGGGTCGCTAACGTAACATCAACTCTAGATCTTCACATCGACTACAGCAAACCATTATCGCACATGTCTTCGGTTCCTTTGCCAAACAGTCATCAGACATGTAGCCTCTTCATCTGTGCACAGGCATCCATTTGAAATGAGTCAGGGTGGGGTTAATGTTTTCATAAAGAACCCCCACACAGAATACATTTATAGGCTTAAGAGAAACATTATCATGAAGCCAAAACACGACAGATGACGTTCTGTGATGTGAGGGACTGACAATAGACACATCTTGGACAGTTTTAATCTAATTCCCCTCAGAGCGCGGGCAGATTTCACACCGCTGGAGGGGTAATCTCTGCACACGCACACACACACACACACACACACACACACACACACACACACACACACACACACACACACACACACACACACACACACACACACACACACACACACACACACACATACACACACACACACACACACACACACACACACACACACACACACATACACACACACACACACACACACACACACACACACACACACACACACACACACACACACACACACACACACACACACACACACACACACACACACACACACACACACACACACACACAGTGTTCCCAGCATGGGTTTGAATCTCATAATGAAGCCAAAGGGGAGAGGAGCTGGTGGCGTAATCAGGGATATATTGCAACGCTCCAGTTGATTTTTAGCCCCGGCTTTATTTTCGTAGAGAGGGAAAGACACATTTGTTCGCCCACGTCAAAAGGGGAAGTGTTCATCCACAGCCTGAACATTTATAATCCTGTTTTTGATATTCCACCCACCACATGCACTCCCGTCCTCTCAGTCATGTCTTTGTCTGGCCTCACATTTATATTCCACCATCATGTCAAATGCATGCATGTGAAGAATCAGGAATCGTTTAGTTGCCATCTTTTTTTTTTACCCTGCAGCGTACAACAACGCATCTCTTTCACAAACACGTTTGCTCAGAGAGAGACCAAGTGTCAGCCACTGTGTGTGTGGTGTGTGTGTGTTTTATGTATTCATTCACTCATTGTGCATTCACACTGTTACACATGCAAGTAGTGAGACTAGCCCTGCCGCCTGCACACACACACACACACACACACATACATACAAATTCACATTCACACACATACACACTCACTGAAGGCAGGAGGAAGTGTTGCCATGGCAACCGGCAGGACTGCTGCCTCTACTGCTGCTACAGAGGCTGATAAAACCAAAGGGTGGAGGAGGAGACGTTTTCTGTGCATGTGTGTGTGTGTGTGTGTGTGTGTGTGTGTGTGTGTGTGTGTGTGTGTGTGTGTGTGTGTGTGTGCATGTGTGTGTGTGTGTGTGTGACCGTGCATTGACACACACTGAGATGATTGTAAAACAATTCACCCCTAACAAATGTAAGTTAGAAAATGGATAAATGCTACAGGCGACATGTAGCATGGGAGGGGTTGCATAGTGCATCACACACGATTGGTTCGCTGCAGCGAGTGTGGATAATTAGCTTTCTGTATAAATCAGTCGAAGCAGCAGGGGGATAACACTGTCCGACCACTTTGAGCTACAGCAGCAGGCCATAAAGAGAGCTTTGACTCAGAGAGAGATAGTCAACCTCTGTGTGTACGTTTGTGTGTGTGTGTGTGTGTGTGTTTGTGTGGTAGGGCTTGCCCTTTTTCCCAGTGAGATGCCTGCTGTGACGGCTCGTATGTAAGCCCCTTTTAGTCTTCATCTGAAGCACATCATCACCGGCTGCATCTGCTCGGTGTTTAGAGGCAGTTTAATCATCATCCGTCTTTGAAGGACATTTCACACAGTCACACCCAGCATGGCACGCAGTACAGTCTGCCAAACCTTCTGGTGTCCTCTGTTGTCTTTCTCTGTTTTACTGTGATTTGTCATTATGTTTTTTCTGTTATATTTTAACATGTTCCTCAGGGGATGAATACTACTGTTTACCCATGCCCTATTGTCTCTAGCACCATCAGCAGGTCCAAATGTTCTTGTATCCAGTGATACATTTCACTATGTTATTGTGGGATTGGCATTATATTTTCTAGAGGCATTCATGGTTCTCAGATGTTGCCCAATATTTAGATGTATTACTTAAATGCAACAAAACAAGGCCTACTGACATTTCCATAACCCTCAAGGACTTTGTGTTTACTGTTGTGTTAGCTTTGTCTTGGGAGTTTTTGGAGCATTTTAGCCTGCTGATATAAGCATTTAGCTCAATGCAGAATCTTGCCAACGTGGCTGTAGACTTACCAGTTATTAAGGTACATAAACCTAGCTTAAACTATTCTGGTCTAATGCTACAGTTCTGCAATAAATCCTCCTTTCCTGAAGGTTAAAATGTTCAATTTGTGTTGAAACTCTTTCTAGGTTGTGTTGCTGTCTAATGCTATTATTTTTGAGAGATTCTTCTATTGTGCAGCTTATTTATATCAATATGAGAATGCTAAGTATAGCATGTACAATTCAATGCAGCTAGACACGACACAACCTACGTCCTCCAAAATGCTTACACGGTTGAGTCAACACGTCTCTAAAACAGATTCAACCAAAACTGAACATTGTAACCTTGGAATGGAGATTAATGTATTAGACTATTTGAATTTAACTAAATCTACCTTACGAACTGGCAGCTGAGTGTATGTTTGTTTCTGTCTATGAATCAGTGTTAGTGCCTCCTCAGGCTCTCTCCCTTTAATCTCGTCCGTCTCGCGCTGCAGCTGGGTGTCAGGGTGTGAGCGGCACATCAGATTTGGGGGAAGGCCACCTCTCTTTGATCAGAGGGCAGCACTGCTGTGTGCAACCCAACCCCCTTGGACTGCTGTACTGTAGGATGTGCATGTGAGTGCAGAGCTGCAACCTGCCGGGTCGAGCAGTACGAATGTTTGGGCCAAAAGCTGCAGTTCATGGAGTGATCAGTGGAGGTTGGCTCCAAAAGAAGCGAAGGTCATAGAACCCCCTGTTTAAATGCCCATTTTCACAGCAGAAAAACACGTTTACAGCGAGGTTCCAACTCCCTTTTTTGTCTCTATAACTTATACCCCCCTTTTTGACAACTGTACGGGGGTGGATATTACTCACTCGTCTAAATTATATAACGGTATATACATATTATTCTGGGCATGGTCGCTTTGAGGGACAGGGTGGTGCCTTCTCAGGTCGCTGTCTGCTGTCTGCGCTGCCCTCATGCTCTAGGCTGGGCTATCTTGTGATTGACAGGTCGCTACCTTTGTGTTGTGCGGTCTGTGACCTTTCCATGTTTTCATTCAACACTTTCTAAGATTGTTTTCAGTTGATGAAAGTTAAAAGTAACATTTTGGTTGCCTCAATATGTCTTCGTCAGCTTCGTAAACCTCTCAAATAATCCGTGATTCCAGCATTGGCAACACATGCCTACACTGCAAAGCATAAGAGGCTAAAACATCTGAAATGTTGCTAATAGTTTGGCGGGAAGTGTTTATTTTCCAATTCTGGTGTTTTCTTTTTTCCTTTTCCAGAAAACGGCATACCCTATTTTGAACAATTATGATGAGTTGGTCAAGTGATTAGTAAACGCCAAATATTTTGATAATGAAATAACCTTTTTAGTCACTATTTTTCTAGCAACATTGGCAAACATCCTTTTGTTCCAGCTTCCCTGCTAATGGGAGAATTTGTCTTGTGTGTATTATATAATCGTAAATTGAATCTATCCATCAGACATTTGTGGATGTCAACTAGATCTCTAGAGGAATTGGTGATGGACATCTTTCCATTATTTTATGACATTTCAAGTCAAAGGTTAATCAATGGATGAAATGATCATTAGTTTCACCTTTAGGTCATTTTAGTTCAGAGGGGAGATGCTTTACGAATCCACACACAAGCCTTTAACTCTTTGAATGGCAGCCAGTGATCTCCATGCAGTTTCCCATCATTACGGCACACGGGGAGTAAAGTGGATAACGACAAGTGTGACTGCAACTTGTAGGATCCCCGTCACGACTGAAAGGTTAAATTCATTAAGACGACTTGCGAGGCTGCACATGTGTTTATGGCGACTGGTCACGCAGCAGCTGTATGATTTATCGCTCTCCCACAGGCCGTTATGATGGCGGCCCTTTTTACTGTACATGATCAAAATGATGAATCTGCGTCTCTGCCTCGCTGACAGTTTGTCTCTGTCTCTCTGTCTCTTTGTAGTAAATATTGCCAACAGCCAGGAGTGGAGCCTGAGCAGATCCATCCCCGAGCTCAGACTGGTGAGGAGAAAAGTGATTGTATCTGCATCTGAAACTGAAGAAATGATTGAATTTATTAAGAGCTGTGCCATTTTATGAAAACAGCACACACTGGAGTTCTCAAATGCTATGTGAAGATTGGTTAAACTTATTCCTTGATGCTCAAGATATACATTTAGGCTATAATCAGGGCTATTTGATTACTTTTGGTTCATATTAATCATAATAATTTTGTTTTAAAGTAAATTACTACTGCTAACACATCAAATCAGTTTAATTTGGTTGATTTAGAGACAATTATATACTTTATATACATGTGGATTGTTAAATCTGTTGCAATGAGGGTACAGTAATATTAGATAGTGAATCTCAATATGTAATATGATTCTGCCTATACTTTATTAATGTGCTTTTTAATTCATGCAAAATGTCAAATACATTACATTTAGTTGTAAAAAAGTATCATTATAATGTGATATTGCTCATTTAATACTTCCTCCCCCACTGACTTTATGTTAACATAAGGATGCAGAAAACATTAAAGCATTTTATAGCTGAAACTATAGATTTGTTGCCCGGCTAAAACTGAATGAAACATATTGGATGGAGGTCTGACTGTAATATTATATTCAGCACACTGTGATCGAGCTGCTAGCTGACCGTGAACGAACTTCACAGTGTTGTATTTCCTCTCCTCTTCTCTCAGGGCATTCTGGGAAGTCTAAAAAGCGGCAAGTCAGCGCTCGTGAACAAATACATCACAGGCAGTTATGTTGCACTGGAGAAGACTGAGGGTAAGAAATATTATACACGTCTTCTATAATGTCTGTCCTTCACTGTGGTGGCAAGTAACACATTCATTTCTAAGCTAAGTATTGTAGTAAAAATGTGAGTTACGTGTACTTATTGAAGTCTTTTTTTCTCATGGTACTTTATACTTACACTTCAAAACATTGAATATTGGGGGAGATACATTTGTCCCCCTCTCCAATTATCTGACCCATTGAGTATACGGCTTTTTTACACACAAAACATATGAAAAGATACAAGCAGCTAAAATGACTAGTTCATTAACCAATGGATAGAATAGAACATTTGGGCCATTGTTAATTATGACGCCATTTATTTGACTTTCTAATGTAAAGCACCTGAATACTTTTCCCAACTACTGGTCCTTTAAATAGTTTTCAATAGAGTTCAGTGCTAGTCAAAAACGGTGTTTGGTCAAATGTAATCATTTTTGTTCTGAGGTTATTATGTGCCTGTCATCCTCTGTTTGTCACTCTGCTGACTAACATATCCGTCACTACTCTTGTCAGGTGGCAGGTATAAGAAGGAAGTACTGGTGGACGGACAGAGTCATTTACTACTGATCCGAGAAGAACCTGGACCTCCTGATGCACAGGTGTGTGTGTGAGAGAGAGAAACAGAGAGTTATTGTGCAATACTGTGACTGTAACATCCTCCTCCTCGTCCTCCTCCTCCTCCTCCTCCTCCTCCTCTTCCTCCCCCAGTTCAGCAGCTGGGTGGACGCAGTGATCCTGGTCTTCAGTCTGGAGAACGAGAGCAGCTTCCAGGAGCTCTACCAGCTCTACAGCCAGCTGAGCAAACACCGCAGCGACGTCCCCGTGATAGTGGTCGGCACACAAGGTCAGCAGCGTAAAGAATCCTCAGAAACAAAATAATGACTTGGTTTCCCAAAAATTACATTACATTTAGCTGACAGTTTTATCCAAAGCGACTTACAATAAGTGCGTTCGACGAAGAAGATACAAATTTGAAGAAAACAGAATCATATAAGTACATCAGGTTTCATAGAGCAAAAACATTTCAAGTGCTACTCAACTGGCTTTAGGTAAGCCAGTCCTTTATTAGTATATAAGTGTTTTGTTAGCAATTCTTTGTTAGTAATTCTATCGCTCGAAGTGGAGTCGAAAGAGATGAGTTTTCAGTCTCCCCCGGAAGGTGTGTAAGCTTTCTGCTGTCCTGATTTCAATGGGGAGCTCATTCCACCATTTTGGAGCCAGGATAGCAAACCCACGTGTTTTTGCTGATGGGAACTTGGGTCCCCCTTCGCAGCGAGGGCGCAGCGAGCTGTTTGGCTGATGCAGAGCGGAGTGCACGTGCTGGGGTGTACGGTTTAACCATGTCCTGGATGTAGGAAGGGCCAGATCCATTCACAGCATGGTACGCAAGTACCATTGTCTTGAAGTGGATTCTCGCAGTTACTGGAAGCCAGTGAAGGGAGCGGAGGAGCGGTGTGGTGTGGGAAAATGACTAAGAGTCGCTAAATAATACTTACTTTCTCAAAATAAGGATTTGATAACTCAAAATAATGTCCTAGAATCTTATCATAATTAAAAGCTTTGTCAAAAATAATGACACAACTAAATATTTTGAGTTACTAAGTCAGTATTCTCAGGGAGTTTCTCTCTAAAATGACTCACATTATCTTGTTCTTTTAGCATTTTCACACAAATTGGCCTTCCATGCATGTCAAACACATGACACTGTAACACATTTAAAGCTGGTTCAAAGTTGTGAAAATATGAAACCAACCAAGTTCAATCAACAACTGTTGGAACTAGCTCGCTATAACAATTACTCTGATCCAACTTTATGGTATCTTGCATAATTACTTATTTAAAAAATAAACAGTTTTGGAGTAAATAATAAACGGAAACAGATTAATTAAAACTCCTGAATAGCATGCTCAAATTATATAATATAAATAAGAAGTAGTAACACATTAATAACTTTGTACATTGCTTTAGTCAATGTAGGCTATTGTTTAACTAAAATATCAAAAATAAAAGAAGATATATTTACCCCAGTTATCAAAACGTACCTGAAAGCATGTAATCCCGTGCCTGGCTCCGGCAGTACAGCAGTGTTGGTACAACTTGGTAGTAGTGTGGGCTGACGGGAGAATGCACACACTTGTGTTTGTATTTCTCCAGAAATGTTCAGACCCTTAGCAAACCTAATTATGTCATCATTATTTATTGTGATTAACAGTTTTTCTCTACTTTGATCTTGTTTTCCTCCAGATAAAATCAGTAGCACGAACCCTCGTGTGATTGAGAACCAGAGAGCCAGACAGCTGTGTATCGATGTGCGTCACTCGTTGTTTTACGAGACCTGCGCCACCTACGGGTTCAACGTGGATCGAGTGTTTTCAGAGGGTGAGTTGGCTGAAATCTCTCACGCAAAACACAGAGTCAGAGGTCTGAGTCAGCACGAGTATGTTAACGTACAGTATGTTAACGTCTGCTGTGTGTCTTCCAGCTGCACAGAAGATAGTCGCTCAGAAGAAGCTGGCGGCGCTGCAAGCCTGCAAGTCTCTGCCCAACTCCCCCAGCCACTCAGGGGGCTCCACCCCGGGGTCCGCATCCTTCCCCAGCCAGGTACACATCTCTATTTTTCTAATAGCTGTAGGTAGGGCCCAATTTATTCATCAACATGACAAACATTTGGATCATCTCACATGTGGAGTTATAAGACACTGCTGGATATCAAAAAATCCAAAACATAACACAAAACTAATTTAAATTATACTAATGCTAATTAGTATTAAACAACTGCTAACAGATATACATATATTAGTGTACCATACTTCATTTTGAGACAAGGTGCTCATACTTTATTTGAATATTCCATTTATCTACTTCTGTTTTGGAGGCAGATATTGTTATTTTTATGTCCGACATATATTTTAAAGCCACGCTTACGATCCACATTCTGATTGTTTATACAATATATATATGAACTGATTAGCAATCACATATTATCGTAATTATATAAGGAAGTTATAATTAGTCACCTTTACCAGCGACGACATTGAAGTGATGAACACATACATTTGATAAACTAAAAACACTTCCAAGTATCTTTTTGTACTTTTACTTTGAATGCAGGACATTCACTTGTATAAGGAATTGTCAAATAGTATTATTGCTTTTTTACTTTTTACTCAGGTAAAACATCAGAATACTTCTCGATATGAACTGTCATGATTTAAAGTTGTTTATCCAAAACAGGAGGAAGTAAAGTATCCTTATACGTTCTTTTACTCCACTATGAAGCTTCCTTCAAAGCTCATCATCAATATGTATGAGCATTGTTTAGCACAGATTCACACAGATACATATTTCCAATCCCCTGACAGAAGGATGAAATAAATATTTTAAAACAATGCATTGATATAAAAGCGCTGAATACTAACACATCCAGGTGTGAAACTTGCTCTTGCTCTTTTGTTTGGGTAAACACAATCTTGTTTTGCAGTCTAGACAGACATTACATAATACCTGATCTAAATAGGACACAGATGAAAGTGATCTGCTGTTGCCATGCTGGTGTTTTCTTACTAAGTTCAGCATTTTTGAAGCACCTCTGTAAAGATCCAGGAGCGTTTTTATTATTCCCGATGCCAAAAGAGCAGTCTCGGAAGAAAGACTCAGATCTTATACCGCAGTGTAGAAATACTCAAGTAAACGTCTTGCATTCAAAATGTTACTTAAGTATAAAAGTAATAGCATCAAAATATACTTAAAGTACTCTGTATTCTGAACAGTATAATTGATATCACTAGTTTATAATCGGTGATGCATTCATGTGTCTATCATTTAAGTGTGCAGCTGGTAAAGGATGAGATCCCATTAATAACGTTTTTTACTGCCAGGTAGCATCCATAAAGTAAAAATAGCAATAGTAGAAGTATAAAGTGGCATAACATGGAACAGTAAAAAGTAAGCAAAGTACATGTACCGCTAACAGTAAAGCACTTGAGTACGTTTACTTTACACTACTGCAAAAGAGTAATATTTTTCTACACATGTCAGACAAATCATCTCTTGAATAAGGTTACAAAAACCATGTGAAACTAAGGTATTATTTCCAGACTCAAAGTGAGAATGTGTGGCCTTCTCTCGGAGCAGTGTAAGCATTAAATCTGAGGAGGTGCCTTATAAAGTAAAACTCATCAATCAAACTGAAATCTAATTTTCCCCGGCATCTCAAAGACCGTCCATCACTTCCTATTCATCCATCTCAGCTCCATCAATATCCCCCTCACCTCGCTCTCATTGATCTGCAGCAATCACCCTGTGGATCAGATCCTATTGTATTGTACATGTACTTCACCTGTGTTTCATATTTCATCCCATTCTCACCCCCTCCATCTCGCCTCGTGACCTCCGCCGTCCTCCACCCCCCCGCTCCTCCTCCTCCTCCTCCTCCTCTCAGACCAGTAATGGCTCGACTTGTGGCTACGCCCACTCCCTCCCCTCCACCCCCGTGATCGCTCACAGAGATCTGAGGGTGGCTCAGGGAGAGGGGGGGGGAGGAGGAAGTGTCAACTCACGCTCGCTGAAGAGCATCCCCCGCCGGCCCTCCCTCTTCAAGGTCAGTTGTCGCCCAAATGCCGAGTGTCTCACACCTCTTACTCCCCCGTCGTCTCTCATCATCATCTCACTCCATCTCACTCTCTCTGCTGTAATATTCTGCTCTTTTCAAACCTTTTTTTACATTTTTATTCCAGAACCGGGACTCAGATAAGAAGTCTGGTGATGGTAAAGGAGATCAGAGCAACACGAGAGGCGTCCCTATCAAACAGGTACAAAAAACAACTGTTAATACATTAAAAAAGATATATTAATGAGGCTTCAGTTTGCTTGAAGCACAATCATATGCACCATCTCCCTCTTTAGTAAAACAGTGAGGAAAAGCTACTTGTTTCACCTTTTTAATGGAGGGATACAACACAACTATATATCCAAGACTTATTACTGCGCTCTTAGATATAGAATTTCCTCAGTTTGACTTAATCATTTAAGATCAGAATCAGACATCCTTTACAAGTCCCGCAGCGGGGACATGTGCATTGCGAGAGCAAAGGTTACAGTTCAGATAAAAGGCAACACAAAAAAAAGAGTAAAATAGTAGACTAACATATTAAATATAAAGGCAAGCACATGTTTTTTTTTAATTAAACAACTACACATCCATGGTAAAAAAAAAGTGTTAAAACCCAAATGTGTTGATGCTTTTGTAAACACAGGGTACTCATTTGTGCCAAGGATTTATTATAACCCTAACCATAGGGTCCAATACAAATAAATCGTTCCTTTTCTTTTTATTGTGGGCAGGAAAATAAATATTGAAATTGTGGGGGAAACATCTTTAGCAATGGAGAGTCAGGACTCAGAGAGACACGGGAGAGCTGGAGCTTTGATGGCAAACACTGAGGGTTTATTTGGAGTTTCGGCCGGAGAATTGACAAGACAGGTGGTGCGTCACGAGTTGACACAGCGGTTGCCAAACCAACTCTGAAGAACTCTTCTGTAGCTCGAGGTTTTAACTAGTTCTGAGTGTAATAATCAACATTCTTCATCACTGAGACTAAAGCAATATGGACCCTGAATCCAACTAGAGCTCTCGTCCATAGAAAAGAATGTGCGCCAGGGAACCTACGTCCCTGAACAGTAAACTACCTCATGTCGGCTTGTGCTCCGTCATAGACTGGCAACAACAATGCGCCCAAGCTGCTCCTCCTTAAGAGAGATAGCAGCAATACCCAAGGCCGTAGACCTATGCCCTGGGACAAGAGACAGTGAGAGGAGAAAATGATGAACTGGGTCGAAGGTTGAATACCTAAGCAAATTATTCCCTGACAGAAATGATTTTCGCAGAGCACAAAACAAAGTCATTTATTTCAGTAGCCTCCTAAGGCTCTTGTCCTTGGTAGTATAAATATAGAGACTATTTTTACAGCACTGCATTGCAAGGGATTATTGTGAGTAATGGCAACTGATGAGGATATTGACAGCTTGTCAATCATCGAGCATATGTGCACTTCATGGTAAAGAGCGAACGCCCGGTCTGTAACCTGCTCTCTCTTTACACCAAGAGGGGCTGCACAGAGAAAACGATCATATATTTAATTCAATTATCTGAAATGTCTTGGTTATTCTATGTCTGTACATCTAACATGAGTATCCAGAGACAAAACAACCTTTCTCAAGGGTGTTCTATTTATATCGTGCAAGTGCTCTCAGCTATTGTTGTCAGACTGATTAACTCTTTGAGGAAATTGTCTCTTTTATGTCGACTCTAAATATAGGCAGATTGAGATGTGGTGTGTTGTCGCTGCAGAGTGTGACCTCGCTTGTTGTTTTTGACAGAGCATCCTGTGGAAGAGAAGCGGCAGCTCTCTGAATAAGGAGTGGAAGAAGAAATACGTCACGCTGTCCAACAACGGCCCGCTGTCCTACCACTCCAGCTCCAGTGTAAGAGCGGGTCGATGTGAAACACACTGTGAAGGATTCTCTGAGGGGGGGATTATATCTGAGGCTTTTTAGATTTAACTGCAGTTTCTACTTCAAAGAGACCGCAGGAACTGCTTTGAAACTCTTACTCACTATTGATTTCTTATTTGTTATACCCAATGACATTCAGAGTGATTACGCATGTATATTGAGCATGTCATTAAGTTTCCTACACATACATTTATGTAAGTGTTGACATTTGTAGGTACTTGTACTTTATACTTCTTCTCCACTTCTTTATACTTCTACTCCACTACAATTAAGGAACATATTGTACCTTTAAGTCCACTTCATTTATTTGCTAACTTAGGTTATTTTGCAGATTCAGAAAAAGACAATACAAAATGAATTCATTAAACTAAGCTCCACCTTAACCAGCTGCAAAACTAGAAGTAATGCATTCAAAATGATAAATACATTACTAATTATAATCCAGTAATATTATATACTGTATATTATTCAGTAATTGGACGTTGTGCCTTATGAATAATCTTACTTTAAGTATATTCTTGTGTACTCTTACTCAAGCAAGATTTTGAATGCATTTGTTACCGAGTATTTCTTCACTGTTGTGTTTCTACTTTTCCATACGTAAAATATACAATCTTCCCTTACCAAAAGTATTGAATAAGATTGCAGGCTAACGTATATTATATATATATATGAATTTATCAGTATAAAAGTAGGATAAAATGGAGAAATTCAAGTATGTAAAACTACCTCAAACTTCAGTTCTTGAGTCAATGTAGTTGTGGTTTTTCTGATACTAAACAATGCAATGTCTATTTTCCTCCAGCATATCAGGCAGTAATAGCACAGTTCTGCTTACTTAGGCTCCTGACTTCAGAATTAAACTTGTCATTTATAAGAGGAAGACATACTTCTTCTTTTAAAACTTGAATATTCTCACTCATCGCCTTTTCTGGGGAAAGTGTCTCATGTTATATGTATTCTGTGTTTCAGGACTACACGCAGAACACCCATGGAAAGGAGATCGACCTTCTGCGGGTGACGGTTAAAGTTCCCGGTAAACGACCCCCGAGAGCGGTGGCTCCTGCGGCCCCCCCCCCCGCCCGGCGCTGGACCCGGGGTCAACGGGCTGAGCAAGGAGCCCACCACCGCCGAGACCACCAGTACAGGTAGATATTCTGTATAATGTGTATACAGAGCTTTGTCGCTGAGGCCTCAGGGTCTGGGGTTTTCAATTTTAGTATTAGTCTGGTATTTTTCTTAAAGTGGACCTATCATGCTATATTTGAATAATATAGTGTAGCACCATCTACAGGCCTGGCATATGTACTACAGCGTCTCCAGCGCTTTCGAACGGCAATGTCCGTGGCTGTCTCCTCCTGATTGGTGGAGTTGGCCCAATAGCCGTAGCGCCACTTCTGTGACGTCAGAGAAGTGTTCAAATCTGGATCAGTCCGTATCAGATCCATTGCAGCCCCTTTTTAAGAGATTTCGGTATGGAGGAAAATAGAGAGGGTTGTGTTTTCTGACACTTGGTGAGTTCCCTGGAACACCGGGGACACATATTCATGTATAAAAGACGTACAAAAGTGCATTTTGCATTATAGGTCACCTTTAAGCTATATTTTTGTCAAGAATCCCACGAAAGGACCAAAACCAAAAGGTGATAGTTCAGTTACTACTGCTTTTGTTAAGTACTATTTTTCATTTTTAAACATAGAAAATAAACCGTAAAAAATGTTGTTCTCTTACTACAAGTTATCCATTTAACTGACTAATGTACAACTTACTAACAAAATGTGTTTATGCTAATCATATAGAGGCATTAGTAGCTAAGTTGAGACAAATTCACAAATATTCATTGTAGTAGTTTCAAGTGAAAGTTATAATGCTCCAATTACCTGTAATGTAGTATACTGTATGTATACAATCAAATACATATATTTTTCCCAGTATTTGTTGCATTACGTTGCGTCAAAAAGCTTTAACAAATAGGAACATTGTGTATAACATATGGCATACTGTATTAAAGCTTTTCCCTTCCTCTCTGTCTCTCAGTTCCTCAGTTGTGTCCGTCCACTCTGTCTGTGGTGGAGGATCGCTCTGGGGGTCTGTCGTCTAAAAGTGGAGACCGAGGACTTCAGCGCTGCTCCTCCTCACTGTCCACCAAAGCACAGAGTGTTGGTACGTATCAAGGTTAATGAAAACCTTTCACTCATTTTCCTCAAGTAAAAAAAAACACTCTCTCCTATGTCTGCATTTAATGCCGTTACACATACAGTATATGATTCATATTTGTTTATGTCAGACGCCATTGAAGGAGCAGCCGGTCCATTTGCTGGAAAAGACCCCGGACAGTCATCGCCCATGAGCGACAGGAAGAAGAACCGGAGGAAGAAGAGCATGAATCAGAAAGGAGACGCAGCCGTCGGGCAGGCGGAAGGTAAATGCTTAAAATGTGTCTGCTTTTAGTATTTTTCTTGTATAAATATACAAATATGAACAATCTATAGTGATATTACGTTACGCTGCGTAAAGTGCACATATGTTCTATATAGTATGTCTATTTTTTTTATATGTATAGTAAGTCTTTATATTTTAAACGCACACTTTATCTTTAATTTTATCAGCACCACGTCACTATTATTTATTTATATGTACAATTTTAGCAAGTTTTTATATTGTCCTGTTCCTGTAAGCCGGTACAACGAAATTTTGTTTTAATAGTACACTCTGTGTCTTGTTGAAATGACAATAAAGTATGTCTAAGTCTAAGTCTGATATAGGGAGTTTTTTAAACAACGAATAGAAAATGAATGCATTAATGAAGCATTCATGTATATTCTTAAGGCTTTTAATTCCTGCAACTGCTATTCTAAACAAACCGAGTACATTTTTTTTTATATATTCACAATATTTACATAATCCTAGGCAGTTTTCCTTTTCCTAAAGCCTCTATTGTCCTTCTCTGTTGTGAGGGTTTACAGTAGATTAGTGTTGGTCTTCCTCTGAATGTTTCTTAACAGCTTTTTCTTAACACTTGTACTTGCTTTTCTCTGTTTCTCTTCTGTTTTCTTTCCCTGGGCTTATCTGTCGCTCCGCAGCCAAACGCAAAATGTGGAAATTAAAGAGCTTTGGTAGCTTGAGAAACATTAATAAGACAGGTAACACGTGACGGAGCTTGTGTTGTGATTTACATACAATGACATTTCCCTTTCAGTGTCTGACATCCCCAGCTTCAGTTGTTCATTTGACTTTTTCTCCTCGTAACAACCCCAACATGTGTCTGTTCTCCCCTTCCACCAAACTGCTTTTGTTTTGCATTTTCTGTTCTCCCTTCACCGACGGTGGATTCATATTAATCCATTGCAAATTACTCATCTTCTCACACATGCAAATCTTACTTGAGTGTGTTCTGCTTCCAATTAACTCGCAGATGAAGAGAACGCAGACTTCATCATCGTGTCGTTCACGGGGCAGACGTGGCACTTCGAGGCTCAGAGTCTGGAGGACCGAGACTCGTGGGTGTCGGCCATCGAGAGCCAGATCCTGGCCAGCCTGCAGTCCTGTGAGAGCGGCAGAAACAAGGTACACACGCTTTAAAAGCCCCCCAAAAAAACGACTTCCTCAATCAGTGACGGGATCCTACATGAGCACACAGCTGTTTGGTTTCTGCCAGCACTGTTAATCACATCTAATAAAGACAAAACTTGCCAGGAAAGCAGAGTTTTGAGTCGCGAGCAGCATTTGGAATCTGAGCATTTTGCAGCAAAATAAATATTGGTAGGCTGTGATTAGCAGATTAGTACATCTTGCACCATCTTTTCCCCACTGAGTCCAACTGCAGGGTAATTAGGGAATGAGAAGTAGGTGAGTATTTGTGAGTCAGTTGACTTGGACTAATAGGTCAATCTGAAGGGGCATCTGGTGGAACGGCATGTCCATATACTTCCTGGAAAATGAGCCTGGGATAAGTGGGAAGTGGGCTGAAAGGAGGGACGGAGAGTCTCCAAAATCAATACCATATGATGCAGTGTCACATTGCACACCCTACATGCCATTATACCAACATTCACATAAGGGGTTTTAGAGTATCACAGTCATTTTAGTTTTTGATGCTGTATTCATTCTTAAACAACACAGAACAAATAGTAATTAGAAGTTGACATTCATTGATACTTTGCAGACAGATGTGCATTGTGTGTTTTAATGTTGGATGTCAAAGGGCATTCTTTTAATTTAGAAAGTGGTAGGGACATTTTGCAGAGTGTCTACCCTGAGAAAATGTAGAGATTTTCTATTGCATTTCCTGCACGTCTACACAATCAAGATATGTATGGGATCTTCAAAGTACTTTGTTACATGTTTTGATGTACTTTTGGTGTTCGTATATTTATATATCGTGGAAATATTTCTTACTACTTTCTTCTACTTTATTCCTCGTATTGTCTAATGCAGGGGCGTCAAACTCAAATACACAGTGGGCCAAAATGTTAAAAATCGGCACTAGTCGAGGGCCGGACTGGTTCAATGTTTATTGCAAAACATATTGAAATGAACTTATTGCACATATTAAACCTGGAACTAACAAAGCTTAAATTAGTGCCTATAAAAACAACATTAAATAATCAGTTGCATTAATTTCTTATGGCTCTATCTGCATCATTTCTTATGATTACATTTTTCCACAGGCCAACAACAGCTTCAAAAAAACTATTCCCCTCAAAGAACAAACCAAACATGCCCTGTTGTTGTGAGAGAACAAGTGCAGAAGGAAACATCCATTAAACTCAGTGTGCTGCTCTGTGATATAGTTCAAGCAGATACTTGGCATCTCATCTTGGGTGCAAGTTGATCAATGTTTGGGGTCAGACTCTGAGCTGAGGAGACCCTCAGGATGGAGTGAAGGTGTGCGTGCAATATACCGGCGGGCCAGATCTAATAGTAATTAGAAATTATCCTGCGGGCCGAAATGAAATCCACCAAGGGCCTGATTTGGCCCCCGGGCCTTGAGTTTGACACATATGGTCTAATGTATGCTCCTTATATGCCAAAGAACATTCCTTATATGTGTAAAAGTACTGTGATTCTGATTACACAGCCCTAGTTAACATAGAGCGCAAGATAGATTTAAACACTTTGTTCTTGTAATCTAAGTAATCGTGTGAACAAATAAAGGATTTCATGTGTGTTTGTTTGTGTTTGTGCAGGCTCGGAGGAGCAGCCAGAGTGAAGCTGTCGCGCTGCAGGCCATCCGCAACGCCAAGGGCAACAGTCAGTGTGTCGACTGTGAGGCAGCCAGTAAGTTTCTAACGTTGAAACATTTTATCTCCCGCTGCAGGATAAATGTGTCTTTTATGTTCCCCATCCAGAGCCTGCAGTTGTGTAAAATAAGCAATATATATGCAAACAAATCGTTTTGATGAGTCGAGGTAAAAATGCAAAAGTGTCATAGGCAATAAAATAAACTTTGTACCAAAAAGTACTCACTATGAAAACCGGCCCATTTCAGAATAACATATATTTTATAACAGGGTTATAATTATTAATTTCTTCATCTCGTTAATATTTCAGCTGGCCTATTTAAATTAATGTATTCATATTTCTTTAAATGCAATTGTTTTTATTCTTCTGGTTAGTTTGGTAATTTCTCCTGAAGATCAATAAAGTGTTATTTATAATATTTGTTTGTTATTTTTGTGTTATTAATCTTAATTTGAAAAGTACATATTCTGTAGCTTTCAATTGAAATGTGTTGCAGCACAAAGTATATTGTTTGCTTCTGAACTGTAGTGCAGTAGATGAATAAAGCAGCTGAAAATAGATCAAAGAAAAGTCAAATAGAAACACAGATCTTCATTTTTTTTAATGCAATTTTTTTTCTATTTGAGATGTTTACATTTTGGATTGTTTACTTCTAGTCTTTTAATTTCTGTAATGTAAAATGCCATGTCTTTTGATGCTGCTGCAATGCCAAACATTTCCCAAATTGGGATCAATAAAGTACTTCTTATCTGATCTTATCTTAGAAAGTAGCTATATCGTTACAATTTAAAGTCCTTCCTTCACCACTTCCTTCACCACTGCATCTCATTAATCTGTGTAAGTGAATGATCATTTTCTTATAATTCCTCCGCCCTGCAGACCCCACCTGGGCCAGTCTGAACCTCGGCGCTCTGATCTGCATCGAGTGCTCGGGGGTCCACCGTAACCTCGGCACTCAGCTGTCCCGCGTGCGCTCCCTGGACCTGGACGACTGGCCCGGCGAGCTCACGCAGGTCCTGGCCGCCATCGGGAACCACATGGCCAACAACATCTGGGAGAGCTGCACCCAGGGCCGGGTCAAACCCACGCCCACTGCGACACGGTGGGTAACACGAGCACAGAATATGAGATGATTCATGCTTTTCAGACAGCAACAGGCTTCAAATCCACCAAAGTACACAGATCTAATAAATACAAGTAGCAATAGTGTCATAATGAAAGTCCTGCATTCAAACACTTACTTAATAGTACAAATTAAAATATAAAATAATATACTCCAAGTTGCCTCCTTTTTCAGATTTATTTATATTATATTATTGGAATAAAGATACATTTCTTCAATGAATGTGCTCAGTTGTCGAAGAGTATTCATAAAAAAAGGATTGACAGTATATTGACATTTAGTTTTTTGCACTTCCTTAATGTTTTATAGGAAGATTTACACATTAGTTGATAGAAACACGTGGTCTCATATTTGCATACGAACCATTTAGTTATTATGTTATAGTAGCTGAATTGGGGGGTCTTTCTTGGCATTAAAGTACTTGTGGGATATCAAATCGTAAAATAAAAGCATTAGTTGTATAACTTGTCTTTTCAGAGGAATAAGGACAATTCCTCAAATATTTACTCAAGATATGTGACTTCTAATCCAAATGACATGTGAATCTGTATTTGCATTTGTGTTATAGCTCTGTGCTGATGAACCATGTTAACTGTGGTCACCTCCTCCTGACTGGATCTCCTGTGTGTTTGTTTTCCCAGGGAGGAAAGAGAGTCGTGGATTCGTGCAAAGTACGAGCAGCGGTTGTTTGTCCCTCCCCAGGGGCCCCAGCACCCTGACGGAGGCATGCCGGCCTGGCTCCTCTCCGCGGTGACGGAGAGAGATCTGCCCCGGCTGCTGATCCTCCTCGCCCACAGCTCCAAGGAGCAGATCAACGCTCAGCTGAGCGACGCAGCGCCTCACTCCGCGCTGCATGCCGCCTGCCAGCTGGGAGACGTGGTCATGACCCAGCTGCTCATCTGGGTAGGTCTCCACTTCCTTCACATTTAAAACTTGTTTTGTTGTTTTTTTGCCTTGAAAGAGAGTTTATTTTTATTAGTCCATTTATTGAACATGTCAAAAACATTTCTTTTTTTAATATATTTATATATATAATAATAATTATAACAAAGAGATGCAAAAAAACAAAAACAATTCTAATAAATAGTTTCTCAAATAGTCTCTATCATGTTCAACAGGGGCAAGAAGAAGCTTAAAAAACGTCTAATTAATTATTTGGTTTCTAAATAATAGTTTTAATTATAGACTTGTACAATACGTTTAGGAACGGGGAAAGAGAGGGGATGACTGCGACCCACTACAGCAAGAATTAAAGAGGTCCTATTATGCTTTTTAGGGGTTTCCCTTACCTGTAGTGTGTTATATAGGTTTGTGTGCATGTAAATGGTCTACAGAAACTAAAGTTTCCTCCAGAGGTTCCTCCCACACACTCCCCCCTGCCTGAAATGCCTCCTTTGGACTCTGTGACATCACTATGTAACACTCACACCTTTATTGGCTAGCTCTCCCACACTTTGTTTGTGATAGGCTAAGGGGCGGGACATCTCTAAGCTGTGTACCAATCACAACAGACCTGCCCAGCTAACCAATCAGAGCAGACTGGGCTCTGGTTTCAGACAGAGGGTGAAAACAGGTGCTGCAGCACAGGCAGTATGAGAAAAACAAAGAGCTTTTTGAACATTAAATCATGTGACATGTCACAGTAGAGACAGAACGTACACATATGAAACCACGGGAACTTAACTTAGAATTAAAAGTTGCACATCCCTGTGAAAGTGATGTGTAGATAAGCCAAACTAGACCGATAACGAAAAAAAGAAGGAACAACAACACAGAAAGGTACTGTTCTTCTGTGTATTAGCTTCACGTCTGTCTGTATCATATGATTATTAACAGTAAATGAACCCTGTGGTTTCACCCGATCGAAACAAGTTCTTGAGTTCCTCAAAAGGTTCTCGTAATTGTTTGGGCCAGTGTAGCATGGGACAAGGGGTAACCCAGACAAATCTAGAGTGGATACGACAAATCATATGTTTTACATTCATTAAAGAGAAAAGGTTCCTGATCTTATCTCTAAATAAACCTTTAAATGAGTGAATATCATCTCTTTCTCCTCACAGTACGGAATCGATGTCAAGGCGAAAGATAACCACGGCCAGACGGCGATGAAGCTGGCCACAAAGAACGGGAGCAAAGGATGCATCGATATCTTGCTCCAGCACGGCTGCCCCAGCGACACGTCGCCCTCCACTGCCACGCCCGTCCTCTCCCGCCGCTCCAGCACCGCCAGCCTGGGCCGCACCAGCTCCAGGAAACGGGTCTCGTAGCGCGGAGGAGGAGCTGGACACGACTGCAGGACGCTCAGTGTTTTAGAGAACCTTTCAAAAAAAAAAAACATGGATTCTTGACAGGACTTCACCGTAGTACTAAGCATTCAAAAAGTAGTTTCTGAAGACTGAACAACATATCAAACAACTTTAAAAGCAATATTCATTCGATTTGTTGATGACTTATGTTGCTGAAATACTGTGTTGTCGTTGACCTCATTTCAAAATGACTCGAGTAGAAACTTTGTAGCTGTAACTGTAGAGCAGGAGAACTGCTTCTTGTTTCACTTCCTCCAGGAGAAGTGCAATAATCCAACGATGAAAAGCAACAAGTTTGAGAGGTGTCGGATGACTGTCGAGGGTGCTGCTTTTATTCCATTGTGTTGTGACTGGACCAAAACAGCTCTTATTTTCTTTGGCTTTACAAATACAGTTAGTCATGTTGTTAGATATGTGTGCCTGTTGCAGCAGTTTAAAGGCTGGTTTGGCCAATATAAACAGTTTTTCAGTGACGAATCAGCTGAAATACTTCTGCTTAGACTAGAAAAATGAATGGTTTGGAATAAGAAATATGTCAGTGTTACTCTCACAGGTCAAAGATATGGCGTTTTATTATACTGTAAATGTATCTATACTACATACTTAATGTTCTCTCTGTAACGAAGACACAACTGAAAAATCAAAGACTCAATTTTGTAAATGATTTCTACTGGTAGTTTTGAAAATATGTCAAGTTTGTTTTATCATTGTCTATGTTATGATTTCTTACTATCCATGTCATAAAAGCATAATCCAGTAAACAAAATGCTTTTTCATGATGTGAACATGTGGGTATTTCATTTGGGAGGGCCAGGCGGCAAAGAGACTTTGTTCACGTTACTGTTGTGTAGGTCGATCCCATGAGTTTACAGTGAAGTATGAAGAGTTGCAGGTGTCATCAGTTTCTGACACTGTGGGTGGTGTGAGTCTCATGAGCTAAAGAAATGGTTACTGGGATAAAATAAACTTTTTTTAATTAGCATTATTAGGATCGTTTTTGTGTTTTATTTTGTCTCTCTTTGCCCCTATCAACATTATGGCATATTCTTAGCCTTAGTCGTCGAATGTATGTATATAATACATTTACTCAAGTACTATTTAAATACAATATTTAGATATTTTGTTTTCTTCCGTTTTAGCATTACATATCTCACCTTCGCTTAGTTTTATCTTTTAGATTATGTCACCATTTGTAGGGGTTTGACCCTGAACTATGACAGTGCTCACGATACGCATTACAGTGCGTTGGTTGATTCGTAACAATCAGAATCACAATTTACAATTTCTATACTTCTCCTTTGTGGCATGGCAATTGTTGGTAATCTACTGGTTTTATAAATGTAAGAAATATAGGCAGACAATAACAATGGACTTTTACTATTCTGTGTTGAACTTTCTGCTATTTTATTTAGTCTATGGTTGTATGGTTCAACTCCACTAAAACTCTTATTCAATTTAATTATTACCTTTAATTGTTTTGAATATTTAATTTGAGAGTAATAATACAAAACGTAACCAACTATAGGTAAAACATAATATATTATAATTGCAGATCAACATTAAACGTTTTTGGTTAAATTCAGCTATTCAGCTAGTATATTTAGGAGAATTTTTTTAAATAACACATCCTCCTTTACCAGCTACAATAAGGGGATATACGTTTATATATACAGTCTATGGGATATACACAGAAATGGCATCAATAATTATAACTCGATTAAGTAACATTATGTTCTTCTAAAATCGGCCATTGTGAAAGATGATGGCTTTTACTTTTGGTTCTGTAAACTGTTCTTAAAAGTAGGATTATTTTAAGGTATCATCTAAATACGGTGGCCCTGAAGTGCAAGTCAAAACATCATTTCACAAAACACTACAGCCTTTCACAAAACACTACAGCCTTTCACAAAACACTACAGCCTTTCACTAAACACTACAGCCTTTCACAAAACACTACAGCCTTTCACTAAACACTACAGCCTTTCACAAAACACTACAGCCTTTCACTAAACACTACAGCCTTTCACAAAACACTACAGCCTTTCACAAAACACTACAGCCTTTCACAAAACCCTACAACAAAACACTAAACACTACAACAAAACACTACAGCCTTTCACTAAACACTACAGCCTTTCACTAAACACTACAACAAAACACTACAGCCTTTCACAAAACACTACAACAAAACCCTACAGCCTTTCACTAAACACTACAACAAAACACTACAGCCTTTCACTAAACACTACAGCCTTTCACTAAACACTACAACAAAACACTACAGCCTTTCACTAAACACTACAGCCTTTCACTAAACACTACAACAAAACACTACAGCCTTTCACAAAACCCTACAGCCTTTCACAAAAGCCTTTCACAAACCACTACCAGCCTTTCACTAAACACTACAGCCATTTCACAAAACCACTACAGCCTTTCACTAAACACCTACAGCCTTTTACACAAAACCACCTACAGCCTTTCACCAAAACACTACCGCCTTTCACAACAACCCTTACAACAAAACCCTAAACACTACAACAAACACACTACGAGCCTTTCCACTAAACACTACAGCCTTTCACTAACACTACAACAAAACACTACCAGCCTTTCACAAACACCCTACCTACAGCCTTTCACAAAACACTACAACAAACACTACAGCCTTTCACTAAACACTACAAAAAAACATACAGCCATTTCACTAAACACTACAGCCTTTCACTAAACACTACAACAAACACCTACAGCCTTGCACTTAACACTACAGCCCTGTTCACCTCTAACACTACAACAAAACACTACAGCCTTTCACTAAACACTACAGCCTTTCACTAAACACTACAACAAAACACTACAGCCTTTCACTAAACACTACAGCCTTTCACAAAACACTACAGCCTTTCACAAAACACTACTGCCTTTCACTAAACACTACAACAAAACACTACAGCCTTTCACAAAACACTACAGCCTTTCACAAAACACTACAGCCTTTCACTAAACACTACAACAAAACACTACAGCCTTTCACAAAACACTACAGCCTTTCACAAAACCCTACTGCCTTTCACTAAACACTACAACAAAACAATACAGCCTTTCACAAAACACTACTGCCTTTCACAAAACACTACAGCCTTTCACTAAACACTACAACAAAACACTACAGCCTTTCACAAAACCCTACTGCCTTTCACTAAACACTACAACAAAACACTACAGCCTTTCACAAAACACTACTGCCTTTCACAAAACCCTACTGCCTTTCACTAAACACTACAACAAAACACTACAGCCTTTCACAAAACCCTACTGCCTTTCACTAAACACTACAACAAAACACTACAGCCTTTCACAAAACACTACTGCCTTTCACAAAACACTACAGCCTTTCACAAAACACTACAGCCTTTCACAAAACACTACAGCCTTTCACAAAACACTACAGCCTTTCACAAAACACTACAGCCTTTCACTAAACACTACTGCCTTTCACAAAACACTACAGCCTTTCACAAAACACTACTGCCTTTCACTAAACACTACAACAAAACACTACAGCCTTTCACAAAACCCTACTGCCTTTCACTAAAACACTACAGCCTTTCACAAAACACTACTGCCTTTCACTAAACACTACAACAAAACACTACAGCCTTTCACAAAACACTACTGCCTTTCACTAAACACTACAACAAAACACTACAGCCTTTCACAAAACACTACAACAAAACAATACAGCCTTTCACAAAACACAACGACATTTCAAAAATTAAATAAACAAAAAGTGTACTCCATCACTGAGTGAAACATACTTGGTGCAGTTCCTCGTTCAGACTGAAGGGGGCGTCCGCAGTTCACTTTTGTTGACATACGTCACCAAAATGCGACGGCAGATCACAAGGGATTTAATGAGCTCCAGACTGAAAATCACAATAAAAGGAGAAGAGTATTCTTCGCCTACAAACACATTTTAAATGGGTAAGTCATAACAAGGATACTAACGAGGTGACTTCATTACAAATAGGTTGATTTTTGTTTCGAATAAGTGTGTAAAATGTGTCTGGTTTAGTGGACAGTCAATACAAACATGGCTAAGCTGCGTTAGCTTCTTGTTGGAATTAACGGCTTATAATACATTTTGAGTATAATACTAATACCTCTATGGTTCCTTGAGAACATACGTGTTTGTCTTGGTATGTCGGAGGCGGAGTAAAGATTATCCACAGCTTTATTTATTTCTAAATCTCTGTCACTGACACTGTATGTCTTGATAGTTATTATATTTGTTTTAAGGGTTTACAAAAAAAGGTCCTTAATACATGTGAATACTTCACCAAAGTCCCAGCTCTCTGTGTTTAAAGGTCTGTATTTAATAATGATTGAACTGTAAATTAATCTTTTTAAAAAACTATTTTAGTCGATGATAAAATCAAGACCGAAGCCAGGGTTACAAACAGCCAGTGGAGTGGGAGGTTACCATACTCTCATCAAATGCGTCGCATACTTCAGTTTAGTTTCATACATAAGTGTTCTCTGGGTTTGTAAAGTAACAAAACTCATCTGTCAAACTGTTTGACTGGAAAGTGAGTTTGTTATCATTCTGTACCAGGTCGTTTCGTACATGGGAATACTGTTTCTTCTATATATTTATTACATATTTTAAAGAAAATATAATAATGAATTATTGTTTTATTAAAAGATAATTTATAATTGAAGACAGAAACCAAATTGAGAAATACCAATTGTTGGGTAGTCACCATTGACTTAATAAAAAAATGATTACATTATTTATGTTAACATTGAAACCACTGAGTCTAATTTAGATAGAAATGTTCTTTGGCTTTTGTTAAAATTGTTCAAACTGTTTTGCTAAAAGGTGAGTTTTCCACATCAGTGTATATTTAGTTTTATATGGGAACACCCTTTTTTCCTTATATTTGTTTTTGTTTTATTGAATGTGCCCAAAGACTAAATATAGTATTATAAGAACCTTTAAGGACATTGGTGTTTATGAACTCATACAATCATAAACGTATCAAAGATATTCCTTAATTTGCAGTTTAACATTTAAAAATGATAATGGAATACATTATGAAAGGAGGAAGAGTTCCCCATACTGTTTCACTAACAAACATGTTCCTGTGTGTCCTCCTGTGCTCCTGCAGTGGTTCTGTAGCGCTCCAGGTGCAGCAGCAGGATGAGGATCCGGCTGCAGGGTTCCGACCACGCTGCCGGCCTCCTCGCTGAGCTCAACCGCTGCCGCCAATCACGCCAGTACTGCGATGTGTTCCTGCAGGTCGGCAACCGCACGTTCGCAGCGCACCGTGCCGTGCTGGCCTGCGCCGGGTCGTACTTCCGTAACCTGTTCACCCGGGCTCCGGCCACGTCCTCCGCCGCCTTCTCTCTGGAGTTCATCTCCCCGGCTAACTTTGAGAGGGTGCTGACGTTCGTCTACACGGGGGAGATCCTGACCGACCTCATCGATGTGGGGGTGCTGTACGAGCTGGCTGAGAGGCTGGGTGTGAACGAGCTGATGAAGGCCTGTCACTCCACCTTCCCTGACCTGCAGGCCTCTGTGTCTGTGAAGGCAGGGAGTCCCGGGGAGCTGGACTCAGGCATGGTCTCTGCTGCTGCTGCTGCGTCCACAGGTGTCTCGGCCTGCTCCTCCGCCGCCTCCTGCTCCTCTCTGTCCTCATCAGCAGGTCCATCTGCCGCCCCGACCCCCCGCGGCTGTGATGCTCACACTGGGACTGCGTCTTTGCACCTGAAGGCAGAAGACATGGATTCTCATATCGGCTACGGGCAGATCTCAGCGGATCCACCGGGAGGACACAGTCTTTTAACCAGCAGCCAGTCCAGTGAAGACGTACTGCCTCCGGTGCTCCAGCTGAAGATGGAGCAGGGGGTGGAGGAAGAGGAGGCAGAAGGCAGCTGTGAGGACGCAGGTGGACGAAGGGTTTCTGAGAGCGCAGGAAGCTCTCACAGAAACCACGCCGCGTCGTCTGACTCCTGCTCCTTCCCAGACTCCTCAGCTCAGATCGGAGCGGAGGCCCCATCCTCCTTGTCCTCAGGAGACCCTCTGAGAGACCCTCTGAGCGGCCTGCAGGTGGGGCCGGTGGAGGGCAGCGTGGTGGAGCTGCAGAGGGATGGCAGGTTGATGTTGTTTGGGGAGGTGGAGGAGGGGGAGCAGAGGGAGGCTCTGAAGGGGAGTATGGAGGGGACAGAGGAGGAGCAGTGGAGACAGCTGGCGGGAGAGATCATCGAGCTGAGTGACGACGAGAACTTCATGGAGGACGGTGAGGAGGAGGAGGAGGAAGAGGATGAAGATGACCTGGTGTATGTGGAGAACGGAGAGGGCAGCCAGGTAATAAAACACTGAAATATGTCATGCAGATATTTGTCCCCAATGGGAACATTTACACCAAGAGTGCAGATTCATTCAAAAGAGTGGACTTACATATTATATAAAAAAGTAGGAACACGTTATTAATAATAAAAACACAAGTAATACGAAATAAATATGCACACCTTGGTAAAAGAAAGTAGCAGTATATTTAAAATAAAATACTATAGAAAAATATAGGAATAATGTATTAAATATAGCGAAGAAAAGCTCACATTAGTAACTATAGAATACAAATAAGTACACAACCATGGCTAAAAATGAGGAACAGCAATTTAAAGAACTAAGTGACATATTAGGTGTTGAGACATTAAAACAATCTGCACTGGCTTCCTGTTACACAAAGGATACACTTAAAAATCTTACTTTCAACATACTAAGCAATCAAAGGTGGGGTAGGTCATTTTGGAGAAACCAGCTTGAGTGCGCTAGAATTTGAAAATACACACCCGGAGAAAATCTGCCACTTCCTTCAGACTTCCTTACGCGCACATGACCAACGAGGGCACGAGATAAGTGTGTGCACAGACGGAAGGCTGACAGGCAGGTAGGCCATCCAGTTACTTTAGCCGGGCCGGCTCAGATGATTGGTCGTGCTTTTTATGAATTTTTTGTCAAAGCATTTAATATATTCATTGCTATCGGGATGTTAAGAGCATTCCATGGAATATAACAAAAAGTGTATCTCGAGCCGGTTTCTCAAACTTACCTACCCCACCTTTAATGGATTGGGACCAACATACATGTCAGAGATGCTTCACTGTTACGAGCCAGCCAGAGTTCTCAGGTCAACAGGAGCGGGTTCACTCGTCGTCCCCAGAGTCAGAACTACATTTGCAGAGGCAGCTTCTAGCTCTTACGAACCACACGCTTGGAACAAACTGCCTGCAATTCTGAGGTCCGCCCCAACCCTGGGTTCTTTTAAACCAAGGTTAAAAACCTGCAGCCTATCCTGAGATCCTTTAACCGTGCCTTTATCATTGCACTTTTAGTTGCAGCCAGCATTTCATCGCTTTATGAATTTTGTTTGTGTTTTTGTTTTCTTTTTAATTATTATGTGTTAAATGCCTGTGAAGCACTTTGAATTGCCTCTGTGTCTTAAAATGTGCCATACAAATAAATAGGGGTGCACCGAATGGGAAATTCTTGGCCGAAAACCGAATGCCGAAAATGATCAATAGAAATATATATATATATATATATATATATATATATATATATATATATATATAATGTATACATTTTTTACCAATGTTGTTCAGCTACCTGATTATGGAAATAGACATGATTATGGCAAAACTTAACTTAAATAATAATCACTATTATGGGTCCATAAAACATTTATTCAGCACTTTTGAATGCATACAGTACATTTATAGATGTCATGTATTATTGCTAAAAAACATGATATCGCAGTCTTAGTGTCGCCAACTCGTTTCTAATATGCAAAGACAACAAATGCGTCTATGATGTATTTTCGATCAGACGAGATCTCTCTCCCCCGTCTGTGTGCGAGGGGGCGGGGGCAGTTTACACACACGCAGCTGCTACATGCAGCGGAGCACACTGCGGAGATGGCGGAGAGAACGCGCTCCGAGGTGTGGTTAAACTTTACCTGTCTCGATGTGGAGAATACTTGTTACCATAAGTGCAATTAGAGTTTAGCATGTAAGCACGAGCAATTTGTCTAAACATTTAGCAAAAGTGCACCGCATGCAGACGGAGGAATGTACGTAAGTAAGTCTGTTCTGACATTCGGTGATATTTTTTCGGTGCTAAAACCCTTTCGGCCGAAAGCCGAAAGGGCCTTTTTAACCATTTTCGGCCGATAATTTTCGGTGACCGAATATTCGGTGCATCCCTACAAATAAACTAACCTTGAACCTTATAGAATTGTTGGGACGTTTTTCACATAAAAGTGATTATTGTACAGTATAGCAACAACATGTCTATATTGCCCCTCACTCAGCGGTCCTGCTCTCCTCTCCTCCAGGTCAACGTGTTCTCCTGTAAAGCGTGTGCGGCGGCGCTCCCAGCAGACCCGGCGGCCATCAGGAGACACGCAGAAACCCACCTGACGGAGCAGGGGCTCTGCAGGGTCTGCGGGGCCTCGTTCCCAGACCGCCACGCCGGGCTGGCCCACTCCCACTCCCACGTGGGGGTGCAGCTCTTCACCTGTGAGATGTGCCACCTGCAGTTCTGCAGCCAGAGCAAACTGCTGCGTCACCACCGGCAGACGGCCTCCAGCTACACCATCCCCCAGGGGGCGCTGACCAGCAGAGGGGAGGGGCCGGGCGCCGAGCTGCAGTGTGCCGTGTGCAACAAACCCCTCAGCAAGGACTTCCAGGTGAGGGGACACTGAACATGTGTTGCCAGTCTGTGGTGGGAATGTATTTATCAAATGTGGATAGAGAATCAAGTTCAGTCAGTCGTACAGAGAGCGTCCAGCCTGCAGAGTGAAAGACCAAGAATAGAGTTTGGGTATTTAAACACAGAGAGCAGAAAGGGAAGCTTGGTGATACTGAAAGGAGCATTCTGGAAGTTTAGGGAGTTAGGAGGTCGTATCAGGAAGTTCTCAGTTCACCTGAGGGGAAGGTCATACTGTTGGTGCACACAGTGTAACTAACAACACTGCAACACATCTTCTTAATAAGGAATGTTCGCAAGCTTAGCTAACAAGTGTGAGAAGTAATAAATATAGATCAACATTAGCAAATAAGAATCACGCTATGATATTATTCAAGTAAGTAAGTGAGTTTAATATTGTTCTATTACACAGTCTACACCATGGCCTTTGACCCCTAACCCATCACAGCCCCCTGCTTCCACTCCCACTGCTATTTATCACATTGTTACTTTGTTTGTTTGTTCATTCACAACATGTAAAGCGGCCGTGGGTCCCTTGAAAGGCTCTATAATAAATGTAATCTATTATCATTATTATTACAGTTGCAAATAAAATGAATACATAAATAATGTAAAGTAATAATGAAATCAAACTTTATTTAAAAAGTACTTTTCAAAACATGGGGGGGAAATAAAGGTAAACAAATTCAGAACTTAAGAATTAAATAAAATCAGGCATCTAAAATCAAATACACAATTACATTTTATAAAAAATAGATTAAAAAAGGGGGTTACATAATAAAAATGTACAAGCATACTGTAAATGGTAAATGGACTGTACTTATATAGCGCTTTATCCAGTCTTTACGACCCCTCAAAGCGCTTTACATACTTACGCTTTGTCATTCACCCATTCATACAGAGCAGTACCACTTGCTCTAGGACCTAACATTCACACACATTCACACACCGTTGGCCATCGGGAGCAACTCAGGGTTAAGTATCTTGCCCAAGGATACATCGACATGTTGACTGCACGGGCTGGGATCGAACCCACAACCTTCTGGTTGAAAGACGACCGCACTCCCTCGCAGCCACAGTCTCCCTGTAAATTATTTCATTCTTAATTTTACCGCTCATAAGTAAAACTATTCAATAGAAAAATATTGTTTAGAATTAATTGTCGGATAATAGATTGATTGTTAAATCATTTTCAAATAAATGTTATTTGCTGCGGATATGCCACATAAACAATATTATTAGATTATTAAGAAAACGTATAGTTCTACTCTTGGAATAACAGAAGAATAAACAAATAAAGTAGAAATCTAGCTCAGAATTCATTAATACCAGAAAACTGATTTTACAAAAAGGCATCTGACAGTATCATGGAGAAAAAGTAAAACTATTGCATTATTTTGTTCCCTGCAGCCACATGAGATCTCATATCTACTCTTCCCTGTCTCTCCCCTCCCTACAGTCGGTCAGAGACCACCTGCTGAGCCACGTGTGTCCTCAGAGCCTGAGCTGTGGGGTGTGTCGCCTCCCGCAGCTCTCCCTGTGCTCGCTGCTGTGGCACGGCCTCGCCCACCTGTCGCTGCCCGTCTTCAGCTGCCCGCACTGCGCCTGCTGCTTCGTGCAGCGCTGCATGCTGGACCGACATATGGCGGCGCACGCAGAGGAGGCGGCGGCGAAAGAACGAGAGCGTCTGGCGCTGAGGGCGTTCAGAGTCGGGTCGGACGGGGATGGAGGTTCGGCAGGAGTGGAGGAGCTGCACTGCTTCCTGTGCCCGCAGTCTTTCCGCTCCACCTCAGCCTTCCAGTACCACCTCGGCTTGCACAGCACTGAGGCTCCTGGTGGAGGAGGGGGGGTACCGGGCTGGGTTGGAAAACGTAAAGCTGACCAGCCTCTGGAGTGCCTTCCCTCTTCCTCCTCTCAGCGTGAGGTTGTGAAAATGAGCAACCTGGGTTTGGGGATGAGCTTCAGCTTGCCAGATAAGTTTTTTCAAGGTTCCATCCACAGCCTGCCCTCGGGGGTCCTGACCAACGGGGGCGCGGCGCAGGACATGGGGGTCGGGGCAGCGGGGGTCCGTGGGAAATGGTACCGGTGTCGCTACTGTGGCAAACGCTTCGCACACTCGGGGGAATTCACCTACCACCTCCGCATCCACACAGGAGAGAAACCCTACCAGTGCAAAGTGTGCCTGCGCTTCTTCAGAGGCCGCTCCACCATGATCTGCCACCTGAAGACGCACGCCGGCGCGCTCATGTACCGCTGCACCGTCTGCGGACTCTTCTTCTCCACGCTGAAGATGGTGGCGTCGCACATGGAGCTGCACAAGGACCACCTGCCTCTGGACTTCAACATCGAGCAGACCTTCATGTACAACGATCACTCTAAAGAGCCGCTGCCCACTGTGGACGCCTGACGAGCTCCTCTTCGCTTCGCTGACACTTCCTGTGTGTCTGGTTGTCGTGGACCACAAACTGCTATCAATAGAATAGGGCTGGAACTATTGTATATTTTTATTTATCTTTTTTTGTTGATGAGTAGTCTGTAAAATGCCAAAACAATTATTTTAAAGCACATTTTGATTCTGAGATGACATCAAATTGTTTGTGTATTTTCCAAACCAAAAGATATTCAGTTTATCACGAGTTTTAAGTAAAGAAAGTAGGAGAATATTGAACTTTTGGATTGCTAAATCTTAAAAATCACACATTACTTTTCTGTTTATTCATTTATTACGTCACCTCTTTATCATGTTTATACTTTAAGAGCGTAGTGGACATATATAATCTGTCGGATGCTGTTCATTGAGTCTGAGGTGTCTCTTTGAACTAAGATAAAAAGCAACCACTTGATGGCAGTGTATCATATGTATCTACTCCGATTGACTCTGTAACTTTATAACTTTAATATGAGGATAGGTTTTTATGTCAGTGGTTGATAATTACACTGTTATTAAAGTAGCACCTCATTGTAGCATATCAATTATTTTCCTAGAGTTGCAGTCACTATTTGTCACATTGAAACCACAGGTACAGCATGACCATCCACTTGAGTGCTTTTTATTCGTCATTGAATCATGAAACGTGTTGTTTTATGTTGAATAATGTTTCCTTCTATATGATTTTAGAATGTGCATTTTAGCCACATGCTGTGTTCACTTGTTTAGAGCGTGTTATAGAGATATTTAAATGCCCATCACCTTTCTGTGTGATATGTGTCTTACCTCATATTTATGATGGCAGTGTAACTGTTATTTGCCTTTATACATATCTGCTTTTCAAGCTATGTTTGAATGTTGGCCTTTTTTTAAATATGGATTCTTAAAAATAATTAAATGCCTTTTGGAAGACTGTTATCACCGCCTGATGATGTTTTAACGACCTTTTAGTGTCCTGAAGTAACTGCATGCAAATTAGCGCATTTTAATTAGGCCTAGTTAACGCCTCATTTGCATATCAATGTGGTGATTGTGATGACGTTATTAGATACACATTTTACTGTATTCACTTTAAGTGTCTCCCCTTAAGTACAGTACATTAGCCTGTAGCCTATGCCCATGATAAATTGCCTTAGCTAAACCTCGAGCTAACTTGTCCATTAGCTAGTAGCCTACCTTAGTTAACTATATTTGTTATTGTCTTTTAGCTAATTAGCTGTAAACTCGAGGCACTGGCAGTTTAGTCATTTGTTCATCACCAGTCACCTTCAAAATAAGCCACGAAAAGCTGGCATTACATGGGATAGTAAAGTGGGAGGTGCTGCTGTCTGTCTGAAGTGACTGCCGATTTCCGCACCGCTGTGCAGGAGACGTGTAGAGAGAGGCTTTATTTTTCGTTTCGTTTATTTAATTAGTTAATTTCGAGCGAGAGAGAGAGAGCTACGGAACAGTCTAATCTCCCGAGTCCCGACCTGATATTTTGTATTCAATCAATATATTTTTGGAAAGGGAAACTGTGCACAAACAGCAGTAGATATATATTCATTTATAAAAATAAGAAAAAAGGGGGAAAAAGGGCACTTTCTCTGGAGGAAGAAAAAGGGCCGGGGCTCAAGCCCACTTTGATGTCTGTGTGCACGTGCCTTTCCTGAATCACAAAAAAACATCCATCATCAGATTTCCAGTGATGAACTTGCAGAAATGTGTGCAGTTTTGTGAACCTCCTGCTTCCAGGGGCACGTGACCTTTGCCCTTTTTAAAAGCTGCGGTCTCTTCCTGCTATTGTGCCATGTGTGGACGAACACCCCCTTTTCCTTTTTCTGCCTCCTTATCATTTAAACTGTTGAAAGTGACACATTCCAGATGGACAGCAATTGAAGTAAATGTAATAAAGACTGTGAGAAGGGAGATAACTAAGTGCAAGAGCAGCAACATCTCTCTTTAGCTAAATACATTTAGGCTTAAAACATTCACGTCCCGAAAGCTCGTTTCTGCTCTTTGTGATAAAGTGCAAGCTCAGGTTTTGCAGCTTAAACGCAAACAGTGTTTTATGAAGTTTTATTATATGTTACAGCAAATGTTGCTACTACAGTAGCATCCTGAAACAGAATAATAAGAATGAAGTAATGATTTATCTGTTGAAAGTTAAACAGTTGCAAGATGTTTATGAGGATTATCTGGCACGATCAGCTTTGTTTACACACATTCACGTTGTTGCTTGATTTGCGGGACCAGCGTTGCAGTCGGGAAGAAAAGCAATGAATAAACAACTTTACATGATTGGTTGTGATCATATTCTAAAGATGTTTGGATTAATGAAAATTATACAGCTCCCTTTCATATGAGTGTTGAGAGCTGTACCCATACATTCATTTTGTGCTCAAAGTGCACCAGATTGATAATAATTAATAATAATTAGGGCTGTCAGTCGATTAAAATATTTAATCGCGATTAATCGCATGATTGTCCATAGTTAATTGCGATTAATCGCACATTTTTGATCTGTTTTAAATGTACCTTAGAGGAATATTTTTCAAGTTTGTAATACTCTTATCAACATATGAGTGGACAAATATGCTTTATGCTAATGTTTATTATCATTTGAACAATGACAAATATACTCATGAATATTAAACACAACAACTTCTGAACATTACAAATATTCGCCTCAATTCAACCTGGAACCTAATACAATACAAATGGTGTGTGTGTGTGTGTGTGTGTGTGTGTGTGTGTGTGTGTGTGTGTGTGAGTGTGAGTGTGTGTGTGAGTGAGTGAGTGAGTGAGTGAGTGAGAGAGAGATGGATCGTTGGAGCTATGTGCAACTCAAGGCATATGCTCGAACGGGAGCTGCCTGGACGCTGCAATCATGTTGCACTATCCGTGCTGAGTGTGCTGACTTCTCGTACAATGTCCCACTGTCTGGCTGCCTGCATAAAGTCAAGTGCTCGGCACAGTTGTCGGCGAAATGTCGCTCCTCTGTTTTCATTTAAGCAGCTCCTTATATCTGTTAGCGCAGCTAGCTATTACCAGATGGCATGCTAACAACAACAATGCACGTAAGGTCTCTCTCTCGCTCGCTCGAGCCACACATACACACACCCTCCCGGTCCTCCCAATAGCCAGTCGGTGCCTGCCAGTGAGCGTGGAAGTGTGGTCTGCCACAAGCGGGCGGCAGGAGCGGGGCTGTCAGCATCAGCTTGTAGATGGTATTTTAAACTCGATGCGCTCTCAAACTACGGACGGGGTGGCCGAGGAAAAAAAATACACATGCGTTAATTGCGTTAAAATAATTAGTGACGTTAATTTCTTTTTGCTTTAACGCGTTATTAACGCGTTAACTTGACAGCCCTAATAATAATAATTCCTTACATTTATTATAGCGCTTTTCCAGATGCTCAAAGCGCTTTACAAATCATGTACTGTGGACAATACCCACAGGAGCAAGGTGAAGTGTCTTGCCCAGGCTTTACAGACGCAGCAGCGGCGGGTTTCACCCCTTGATCATTGCACAGCGCACTGCGCCACACCGTCCATCTTCACGCCTCGAGGCGCTTTTACAAGTACACATTAGTATCATACATGTACTGTGGACATTACCCACAGGAGCAAATCCGGGTGAAGTGGCGGCAGGAGCGGGTTTCGAACTGGAGTTCCCCAGCACCCCCCTTGATCTGATGATCAGATGCACAGACCACTGCGCCACCCGTCCTGATGCAATTAACTTCAACATTTAAAAAGAAAATCTTCCCGGGGGTGCATGCCCCCGGACCAGGGGCTGACTGGCCATTAGGAATACCGGGAGTTTTCCCGGTGGGCCGGTCGGACAATTCACCAGCACCCGCAGTTGAGAACCACTGCCCTAGAGGATATGAGGTCCACCCCCAAATAAAGCAGGTTAAAATAATTAAATTGCATACATTTTCTTAGTTTAGTAAACACTGAAAACGGGTCCCACAGACCCAAACAGCACACAAAGGTTAAAGGTAAGCATATAATAATGTTAAAATGTAACTGCAAAAAAAAAAGAAAAAAGGGAGGAGTAAAAGTAGATCACGACTTGTTTTATTTTTTGAAGCTCTCATCCTAAAAAAGGTTGGAGACCCCTGCATTAGACTGCCATGGGTTCCTGTGGGAGTTGAGCAGCTTAAACTACAAAAAAAGCACTTCAAACATGTCTTGCCTTCCTCTGTGATCAGATACATGGTAAAAAACAAAAACATAACAGGAAATGGATTATGAGAGTGAGGCTGTAACAAACATCACAATGAGTCTCTGACCAAAGAGATGATCTGATGATCTCCATTCAGTTCTGTCAAATCTTTATAGAAAACATCTCGAAAAGTTTTCTCAACTCAGCTTCTTTTATTTTTATGATTCAACATCGGACTGGCTGGTGCTGGCGTTACTTAACTTGCATTGCTTCCCCGGGTCTCCCCCTCCTCCGTTGGGAGCGTTGGTCCCGGCTCCCAGCTGGTTCCCGGCTCCATCTCTGGGTAACTGGCTCAGCACGGTGTTGACCAGGTTGTCTTGGAAGCTCTTGCTGAGGAAGTTGTAGAGGATGGGGTTTGCCACGCAGTGAAAAAGAGACAGGCTTTGCACCACGGTGAACGAGAAGTACAGCACATCCATCGTGTTGCAGCTGAAGATGAAGGGGTCAATGTCGTCTACGATCATCAGGAACAGGACGAAGTGGTAGGGCAACCAGCAAAGGACGAACACTAGGGAGTAAACGTGAACCAGCCAAACGTCCCGCCGGCCCTGAACATTCGGCGCCGTCCGAACCGCACGAGCAATCAGCACGTTGCAGGTGATCATGACGGCGGCGGGCCCCAAGAACTGGAAGACCAGGCAGAGGAAACCCACAGAGACAAACCACTCTGTGAAGTTGTGTTCAGGCACAAAGTGGCAGCCCGGCTCGTCCCACTCCAGAAGATCTACATGGACGTTCTCCAGCAGCGCCAGGAACAAGGAGAGCACCCAAAGGCCTCCACAGAGCACCCAGCGGCGACGACCCAGCACGGGGAAGAAGGCGGGAAACGAGGGTCTGGTCAGGGACAGATAACGCTCCGCGGTCATGAGGGCCAGGAAGAAGGAGCTGCTGTAGAAGTTGACCGTGTAGACGAGGTGGGTCACCTTGCAGAGGAAGCGACCCCACAGCCAGACATTGTTCGTGGTCACCTCCATCATGAAGAACGGCAGGGTCACGATCACCATGAGGTCCGACAGGCTCACGTTGAGGATGCAGAACAGGACCCCGTTGGCAGAGTGGCGTCGGCGCCAGTTGACCCAGATGACCAGCACGTTCTCCAGCAGGCCCACCATGAAGATGAAAAGGTAGATGAGGAAGAGGGCGATGCGCCGGTAGTCTCTGGCAGAATCCAGGTCAATGGTGCAGTGGTAGAACCATAATGTGTCATTATATAAATCCAGCGTGGCGTTGTGCTCGTGAGCGCTCATGGTCTGGAGTGAAAAGCAGAGGGAAAACTGTTTAATATAACTGGAAATAGTTCAGGTTTATTCTGGGGTTAATCTGATTATGTTACACAATAGAAACTCAGGAGGAGGGTGGGAGACGTGCTGGGTTGGAATATTACAAAAAGTAGTTTGAGAGTCGGATATAAAAGCCTCAACATATGAGAAGAAGCAAAAAACGACAAATGGAAGTTATAAATGTCTCACTTGGGACAATATTTGGTTTAGTTTATAAGTTATACTTGCTGACTCATTGCACATTTTGTGATTTAAAAGGAGCAGTCGGTTGGATTTGGCGACATCTGGTGTTTTGGTTGCAGCCAAACTGAATAAAGGCTAACCCGTCCCTTTGAGAGACCGTTGTATCTTTCACCAACTTTACCTAGTATAAAGGCCATCCCAGACATAGCAATATTTTAAAAGCAATACATCTCAGGAGGCGA